TGTAATATGTATTTTGGTTATTGCAATAACCTTATAATGTGAAATAGTTTTCTTTAATAGGTTAATTTATGTGTTATTCATATGTCGCTAAAAATGTATAGGAACTTGATGTAGGTGTGTGATATTATAAATGTTCAATCCGCAAATTGATTACCTTTTAACATTGTTTTTAATCTTTTTAATGTTTCAAAAATGGGAATTTCTGATGGCGAATTTTGTCGTTTACAATCAGACGACTGCGTTTTGCTACATTTGAACATGGTACTAATTATTTACTGTTTATACTTTTTTGGATAATTTTCGGAATAACTTGCCAATCTATTACCAGCTCTACAACCCCTTTGTATCCGTTCAACCGACTGAATAAGTATCAGTAACAAGTTACAAGCTACTGTTATAAGCTACTGAAATCATGGCATGTAATTGGCTGAGAGCAAATTTGTCATAGGAATTTAGCACTTGTTATGGATAAAAAGTTTTATGAAACGGGCCCCAGGACTGTGAATCCTGTCACAGCTTTTTGAAGAGCATTAATCGACATTTGTCACACTACACCCAGGTGAGGTAAATGGATACCTATCTGGAATTAATTTCTTTAAATACTCGAGCGCTGTAGTGGTAGCTGTGCTAAAGCTGGGGGTAGTGATGAAGGAGTGCCATGTGTGGCAATGTGTCAGGCGTAAGCGCTTTACAATACTGCGCTATAATATTCATTTTAAAAATATGTCATTATACAAATCGTATTGTGTAATAATTATAATAATGCGGATATATATAGCGCTTAAAGGGATCCGGTAACTTTGTCTTAGATTCTTTTAAAAAAATCCTTGATTTAGCTCATGCTGCAATGATAACTATAAACCTTTTGGTCAGTCAGGAACCCCATGCCTTTTACAAGCCGATCACCTGTTCTGATTTTCAAGATATTTATGATTGAAAATCTAAAAGCGGTCACTCAAATGTTTTTACTTTTTGAGGCACTTCTATGATCATTTTGAAGTGCAATTATTTTAGGGCTTCAATATAACGCCATATCGCATACACACTAATAACACGTAGGGCCATGCATCTCAGATTTACATTGTTAAACGATCTCTTCAATACGAAATATCGTATCTAAGCGTTTTACAGATAAATGTATGATCACACCGGTTATCGGATTCAATCACGCACAATTTTAACCAACTGGGGAGGATTTGTAATATATGGTCACCGTGAGGCATATGGAAATTATTAACACAAAGGCTTTCTATAACAGGTCCACAGGTGTGCCAAATGTAGAGTAATGATTTGCCAAATGACATTAGTACCGCGTTGGTAATCGAATCCACGCCCTTTGCATTTCAATTCAATCGATTAACCCTCTCACCGACGATACCTCTACTTAAAGGCCTACTGCACTACTTGTAGCTACTTGCGCCCTCTATATAACAAACAATGACTAATCGTTGACCATTGGTCCCCCATGATCCTCTTTTTTCGTATGTTAACTGAGAGCTGATGAGATAACCACCTGTTCAGTGACCTTGCAGGGCAGTCTAATCCCTCCTATAAACTACGGCAGATAAGCTTTAACAATCGTGTAATACGATTAACCGTTTCAAATAGTATTAAAATCTATAATTTTGCTTTGCTTTTAACTACAGTTAGTTTGTAAGTTGAAATATTATATACGAAAATATATAAAATTGTGCTACGGAGTGGATTATATCATGATATAGACTCAAAACTATTTATTTATTATGAAATCCAGATACCGCCCGCCAAATGACTTTTTGGTACCCTCTCTTCAAATTGTTTTTTAATCACTCATGCGTGAAATGTGCATCATAGGAGTTGCATGAATTGAAAGAAGAGGTTCTAACCTTTACAATATGTGTCATTTATTAATTATAATTATGATTAAGTTATGATAAAGCATCGATATCTTTCGGTTTCGTTTTTTCAGGACGCACTTTGTAGCATAAATTGAAAAAGAAGATGGTGAGGGTGATGTCAATGATGAAATGAAATCGAAGATGATGATGATGTTGATAATGATGATGTTGTTGTTGTTGATTATTATGATGATGATGATATCAATGATACTAATAACGAGAATTATAATGCTGATTGCGGTGGTACGGTAACAGCAATCATAACCCAACTTAAACGAGATAATGATATATTTCATCATTACTGTTCCAAGCACACTTTCTCCAGTCGGCCATCAACCATATAGCAACTGCACATTATGAACGAAACCCAGAATATCATTGGCATATGGCCACTAACAAGAAAACTAAATATTATCATGGTTTTATCGAATGTATGTACACTGTATGCTTTGTAGACTCTGAGATTTATAAACAAACGTGCGATTTGATGAACATAGTTTCAGTGTGAAATTCAATTCAGCAAATATTTGCAACAATATCGATTCGAATACTCCGTGCCATATTGTCCGATCTCCACAAAGTACACTTCCTCATCAGCTATGCGAATTTATTTTTAGAATCTCAATAAAAATGTCCTCATTTGTCATATTTAGCAAACTTTTACAATGTGTACAATAGCCATTAAGCTGGGCGATGTGAAAGGATTCGCGCTTTCGTTTTTTCCATCATAATTAGCAAATGGAGGTTAATGTATGTAATTTTTAACTATACACATTTTACTCGTTCGAGTCGCAGAATCTTTCCTACGTACTTAAATTATATTTCATTCTCATGACATTTGAAACCACATCAGAGGGTGTTTCACAAAGACTAACATCGACTTTCAGTTGGACTTATCTATGACAGGCCATTCATGACACTGGTTGCTCTCACTACTGGTCTCTCGATTATGATCTTTAGATAATATTTTTTCCTTCAATAATGACATATCAAACGATGTCAATTCTGTAGATTTGTGATCATGATTTATACGTCCATTCAGAGACCAATGTCAGTAAATGGTGAGAGCAAACAGTGGTATTTACTGACTGCCATAGTTAATTAAGTCCAACTTAAAGTCGATCTTACTCTTTGTGAAACACTCCCTCGTGTTTACCTCACAGATGCAATCAAATTTCAATATGGCCCACGCTTCCACCAACAAATATTGTAGCAAACTAACATGAAAAGAACTCCCACCCCATAATAAAGTTTAAGTTTTTTTGATATTGTCAGACAATATCACTAAAAGAGACCAATGTTGTCTTAGGTCGGGGAAGAGGAATATAAATACTTCTTTATTCACGTTCATAAAGGGATTCAAGTTATGGGGGAAAGTAGATGTCGATAAAGAGAAATGATCAAAAACAAACAAAATATAACCAAATAAAAATGTAATCAAACAACAACAAAACAATAAGGAATTGAAATTCCACTGTCACGGTTACGATGAACTACATCTCAAGTATACGACTAAAGACAATTTCTTGAGCCCCCCCCCCCCTCCCCCCATCGTGATCCGTGGCATATCCGGGGTAATGAAAATCCCACGCTGTTATTGCGGGCAATGTTTTTGTATAAGTAGTCTAGCGCTGAATGTATTTAACATTTAATTTGTATGACTAGACGTAAATATGAAATTGATATGTTTGCCCTTATAGGTATTTCCCGAGAAAATATATAATTTTCTGTCGTATAAAACTTAAAGTTTTGAACGGCCAACATCTTCCGTTTGCATTTGCACTTAAAAAAATACCATAGAAATACAATATTAATATCGTATGCATTCCATTGAATGACGACTGTCAATTTTCTCTGAAGAACTTGCACATTTACGGATTAATTAGAAGATTGAGAAAACATGCTTTAACTACTAAATACGAGGAAAGGAGTGATAACTATTCTTCTAAAAAAACAGATTAAGAGCCATACATTTTTATATTCGATGATATAATTTTATTCATTGCATATATTCTCACTATTCATTTCAAAAAGATATTTCAGTCATTAATAATAATGCTTTACATCATGCAAACTAAAGCAAGTTATAACTTAAATCAAGTGTCACACACTTGAACTGTTCTGATGAGTGGTAAAGCACAGTTACACTTTAACCTGTATTGGATAGTATAATAAACAATGATGCATTAACGAGGTATCTTGCGGGAAATATCCCTGATTTCATTGAGCTATACACTGCCTTTTCAATCATTATGTTAAGCTTCCTAAATCTAGTCCTATTTTTCTAACTTTATGCGTATATTTAGAACAAAAGCTTATGTTGTCAAATAAAAAGCATGTCAGAGGCTTGTCCGATATAGCAGCATCAAATGTGTGCAAAATGGATTCCATCCGCAGGGATGCCATTATTTATCATGTTCATAGCAGGTGAATAAAATGTTTGGTAAGCAAGGGTTACGTACTAGAAACGTGCAAAAATTAAAATACATTTATAGTAGGCAGGTATATTTGCTACTTGTACTGTTCAGCGTTTGTTGCACACATATATTGATTTGATTTATTGATTTTTGCATGTTTCATACAATAATAATCAGTAACAATATGAACATTTTTTACATACTGGTTGTATTTTTTCAAATCACAATTAATAACACACTTATTTTATACAAGAACATTTTGGGAACGATTGACATAGCAAAATGAAGAATAGCTGAAACAGATAAGCGTCCGATTGCAGTGCATGCAGCTCTTTAACTAATGACTACAGCAACAGCAAAATATGATAATATAAACATGAAAAAACATCTGGGGAGTGTTTCACAAAGATCCTAAGTAGAACTTATCTCTAAGTTGGACTTAAAAATTATGGACAGCCATTGGAGTCTTAAAATAAAATATATTCAAAAGCAGAAATTCAAGTATTTTAGACTTTTTATAAATTCAACATCCAGAACATGAAATCTCCTTAATGATAGACAATATGAATGATTTGAATAAACAATTAATGCCTTTCAAAATAACTTTTACAAAATATTTTCAAAGATGCTAATGGCTTTCCATAATTTTTAAGTCCAACTTAGTGTTAAGTTCTACTTAGGATCTTTGTGAAACACCCCCCAGGAATTCAATGGCACAAATTGACGAAAATTAACAAAAAGTTACTTGCTTCATGAGACAGAGAGAATGAGAGAGAGAGAGAGAGAGAGACAGAGAGACAGAGAAGGATAGATAGAGGACCAATTGGTATGAGGCAACTTCTTTTTAAATGCTGAAATATACAAAGAGGCACAAGTTATTCAACTATTGAGTAATCAGTTTTACTACATGACTGATTATATTGTACTGTAGTCTATTCACCAGTCTTTTGTTTTGGCAATTTCATTAAATGAGACAAAATTGCAGTTGGGCAGAGATTTTAAAATGAGTTTCATTTGTGGTATACAAAAGCCGGAACATATCAGGCTGTACACTGTGGTCCAATTACAAATATATTGTTAAGTTTCATTGTTTTACTATGTACAATGCAATCCCATGTACTTTATTTATTTTGTTGGAAATGGAAATAAACGAAATGAAATGAAATGAAACATAGTCCTATATTCTGTCTTCTTGACTTTACATCAATAGCAACAATTTTCCACATTTAGTATTAAAAAAAATAATTTCGAATGCTATAACATTGAACAAAATATAAGGGAAAGAACTGTTATCCTTATTGCATTCAACGTTATTACAACAGTTTTTATAATAATCTTCCTCGCAACTTTGAAGAATGATGAGATAATCAGATAATTTTGATATGAACATTCACAAAAGTGTAGTCTACAACTCAGTCCTTCTTGGATTTTGTTTGCTTTCTCCCACACATCCGACGGCAACATCTGCATATTATCCATCTCAGGGTTAACATTACTGCTAAGAAAACGAACGATAAAAAGACTATGACATCGATGGAATTCAGCTGGATGAAGTTGAGTTCTAGAGCCCGAGATCGAAGATGATCACCTCCAAATTTCAAGATGTGTTCGACCCAGTAGAGAACGGTATCTTGGGGCGTGGCTAGGGAGTCTCGGATGATGGCTGATGCGCGCGCAGCACCGGCCTGATATCTACAAAATAAATCAAAAATAATTTGGATTATGGTTCAATTCGGTTAAATTCAATTCAAAGTTTATTCAACACTCTTCATAAAACATTTAAAACATACAGATACACAGTAAAATGATATACAAAGAACAAGATAGTGATACAAATTACAATGACAATTTATGAGAGCATTTGGGATAGGCAGAAAGGAGGAATATATCAAAGCTCACCTCTCACCACAGACATACAGGACAACCAAAAAGATGAACAAAACAGAAGATACTAGTATCATGTACAATCAGAGTAAAAAACAAGAGAGTGTAACAAATCTACTTTAATTTGCGATTGTGTCTAAGAGAACTATGTCAAAAACCGTACTTAGGGTTGGTGAGGATATCCTTGACTGCCTCCCTGAACTCGTCCTCTGTCAGCGTGTTCTTATCGACGGCTCGCCCGAACCCTTTGGCTTCTACTCTGGCTGCGTTCCCCATCTGATCAGCAGCCAGCGGCATGATAAGGAGAGGGACGCCATGAGTTGTGGCTTCATAGACACCTGCTGCCCCGCCGTGGTAGATCATCATCCTCGTCTTAGGATGTCCTGTTGGAAAGTGACGTAACGAGTACAGGAAAAAAGGTTTCTCAGAGGCACGTGAATGGGATAATATTAAAGGGACTTAGTAACATTGTTCAGATGAGCAGGCGCGGATCCAGGGGGGGGCCGAGCGTGCCTTGGCCCCCCCCCCCCCCCCCCGCAAAAAAAAAAAAAAAAAAAAAAAGGAGAGAGAGAGAAGGAAAAGAAGGGAAAGAGGAGAGAAAGGGAAAAAAAGAGGAAGAAGAAAAGAAAAGAGGGAAGAAGGAGATCGGGGGAAGGACTTGCCTCCCCCTCCCCCCCCCCCCCCCCCCCCCCCCAAGGAGATAAAGGGAAGGACAAAATAGGAAGAAGAAAAGAAGGGGAGATATCAGTTGCAATTTTCCCGCCAACAAGGTGTAGATCGAAGGGGGGCACTGGCATACTGATAGGGGAGGGGGGTTGGATAAATAGAATTTAAACGTGGTTTATTTATAACTCCATAACGTTGGTTAACAAATAATGCTGAAGTGAGATAATTTTCCTCACTTCATGCGTTTGTTGGAAAATGACAAATTCCTAAATATACAGCCAGGCAAGAAATGCTTCTTGAGATGCCTACATATCAGGGCCCGCGGAACGGCGGGGATCGGGATCCTCGAGCCCCTCCCCCACACTTTCTTTGAAAAAGTATATTAAAGAGAAATAGAAAGAAAGAGAGCGAAAAAGAAAAAATAGTTAACTGCCAGTGTCACATTATAATGGGGTATCAAAATATGCTCATCTGACCATGATTAAAATTAATGCCTAAAATCCTAAGGGCTCTGCCCCCTGGATTCCACCTAGGGCCCTAAGGAGGGCCCTTAGATGCTCATATGACGGTCATTTAATGCCTAAAACCCCTGATTTCTGGGGGCTCTGCCCCCTGGACCCCACGCCAAATAGTGTCCTGCTAGTGTCACAAATAATAAGGTATCAAAAATGCTCATCTGACCGTAATTAAACGCCTAAAACCCCTGAGCTTCTGGGGGATCTGCCCCCTGGACCCAACCTAGAGCCCTTAGGCGGGCCCCTCGATACTCATCTGATTGTAATTGAGTGCCTAAAACCCTTGAGATTCTGGGGCTCCGCCCCCTGGACCCCAAGCCAATTAGTGACCTGCCATTGTAACAATTAGGTATCAAAATAATGCTCATCTGACCGTAATTAAATGCCTAAATTCCTGAACTTCCGGGGCTCTGCCCCCTGGACCCCGTCTAGGGCGCTAAGGCGGACCCCTGAATGCTAGTCTGACCGTAAATTAAAACCTTAAACCCCTGAGCTTCCGGGCGGACAAGGTATCAACATTATGTTCATCTGACAGCAGGCGCGTAGCCAGGGGGGCGGTGGGGTGGTCCCCCAATAAACGCCGGCCAAAAAAAGAGAGGAGTGTAAAGGAAGAGGACGTAGGAAGAAAAGGGAATAGACAAAGAACATATTTGAAATTCAGACAAGGGTTAAGAGTCGAGAACGGTACAACGAATCGTCTTCTTTTTCTAATGAATTAATGAAACGTCCAAGCTTCCGCGCTTCGCGCGGGGAAGGGCAGGGGGAGCTTAATTCAGACGAGGATAATTTTCGGGAACGGTACAACGAATCGTCTTCTTTCTATAATAATTTAATGAAACGTCGAAGCGGGGGAAAACTGAATTTAGACAAGGATTAAGAGTCGAGAACGGTACAAGGAATCGTCTTCTTTCTTTAATGATTTAATGAAACGTAAAAGCTTCTGCGCTTCGCGTGGGAGGGGGTAAACTGAATTTAGACAAGGATTAAACGTCATAACGGTACAACGAATCGTTTTATTTCGCTAATGATTTAATGAAACGCGGGTGGGGGAAACTAAATTATTTTCGAGAGCGGAACAACGAATCGTCTTCATTCTCTAAAAATTTAATAAAACGTCGAAGCGGGGGAAAACTGAATTTAGACAAGGATTAAGAATCGAGAACGGTACAAGGAATCGTCTTCTTTCTTTAATGATTTAATGAAACGTAAAAGCTGTATTCAGACGAGGATTATTTTCGAGAACGGTACAACGAATCGTCTTCTTTCTCTAATGATTTAATGAAACGTACAAGCTTCCGCGCTTCGCGCGGGATGGAGGAGGGGAAAACTGAATTCAGATGAGGATTAAGAGTCGAGAACGGTACAACGAATCGTCTTCTTTCTCTAATGATTTAATGAAACGTAAAAGCTTCCGCGCTTCGCGCGGGAGGGGGAAAAACTATTTTCAGACGAGTAGGCACGTACGGAAGGGGGGGGGGAGGGGGTTAGGGGGGTTGACCCCCCCCCCCCCCCCTTCGGTTTTTCATGTGTGTATTGTGGAGCAATCCCCCCCCCCCTCTTCTGTGATGTTTTTTTTTTTTTTTTTTTTTAATTAAAAAAAAAAAAAAAAAATATGCCAATGGCTCACCTAAAAAAGGTGACCTCACCCCCCCCCCCCAACGGAAAAAAATGTCAAATTTTCAAATTTGGAGACCAAAAAAAAGGGTCCTCTACCCCCCCCCCCCCCCCCCCCCCCCCCCCCCCCCCGCTTATTTAGCGGCTGGCTGAGTCGTTACGATTTTTTTTCGGACCAAAAAAAAAAGTGGACCCCCCCCCCCCCCTAAGAAATCCTGGATCCGCGCCTGAGATGAGAGAAAATCGTGCGTAGGTAGTGACTTCAATGCTAAATGTGCAATTACAGAAAATCTGAAAGTTTGAGCGAAAACAGACAATTTATTATTATTGATAAAAAATTAAGAAAAAACTGATCTGATCGCTTTATTAATTCTCCCAACTACATTGATCTAAATTTGCCACTCTCCACCCAGGTGTTAAATGGGTACCCGGTAGGATGCGAAAGCTAAAGAGGACACTTTTTTTTTTTTTTTTTTTTTTTTTTTTGGGGGGGGGGGGGGAGAGGGGGTCTCGAAATTTGAAAATTGGACATTTGGCTCCGTTGGTGGGGGGGGGGGGGGGGTAAGGTCACCTTTTTAGGTCAGCCATGGGAATATATATTTTTTTTTTAATAATTAAAAAAACAATCCAAAGGGGGGGGGGGGTTACACAAATAAAAATACCAAAGGGGGTGTTTAACCCCCCCCCCCCCCCCTGTGTACGCGTCTGCTATAAGGAACATTTTCATACACAAATTATGCAATTTTTTATTTAACTTTCAATAATAATTTCAAAATGTTTGTACAGCGCGTATTGAACACATAGGCATTATTGCATGTCTCTATGGCTCTATACATCAGAACAGAATACAGAAAGAGTGGAAATGGGGATGACATAAACATCACGTTTTTGTGAATATCTTTAGCAAAATTGAAGACCTAGTACCCAAAGGAAGAAAGCGCTTTGAGGAGAACAAATAGAATCTAATTATATTTGTGTACATGACAAACGGGAGAGTAGTCCTAGTTGCAAACGTCACAATCCACTGACCAAATTGTCTATTGAATTTCGTATAGATTATAGTGATCTCATCATTATTTCAAACACTAATAATAACTTTCTTATCATTAATCCGATTTATTTCTACCTTTCGCCATTTCGGTGATCTTCTTTTCTGGTTTCCTATGTTTATTCATTGCAAAGATTGCATGGCTTGTCATTTCAAGTCTTTCAAACTATTTCCTCCTTGGGTCTCCAGTCCTAGCAAGCCTAGCAATAGATGAAGACATTGATACATGAAAAATATCATACTGTAATTATTAATTTTTTGCTGATTTGTGTTGTTTTGTAATTCGAATTTATATATGCTTTTGAAATGATTATTGTTCGAACATACACAGACACTCATATATATATATATATATATATATATATATATATATATATATATATATATATTAATAATAATTATTATTTCATGGGGAGGGATTCTTACCAAGTAGATCATTCTGTGGTAGCCAATCAGATATGAGTGTGTTGTTTCCCACGTTCTGGGGCCTCTTTCCTTTGTATCTCCATAGCACCCTCTGCGGTAGCTCACTGAAAACTTTAGCGATTGATTCGGCAAGTTCCTCGTTCTGTAGTGACGTCACAGCTGAACCCTACATTGAGAACAAATTACAATTCGAATTCAAAATCCCGACATACTTGGATTATAATCACAAGGATTACCATCACAAGGATTACCATCACAAAAACAACAACAAAGAAACAAACAAATCACAAACACATTGAATTTAATTATGATAATGATGGAAAGTGCTTATGGAGCGCATAATATAAATTCGTAAAATTATGTATGGGCTTTGCATTTTTGTACCAGATCAGATCATTGAATTCTTTAGAGATGCATTCCATCATAATTTACTACATAGTTGAACGTCCACAATAGGAGTGTCAATATTGACAGACTTCATTGGCGCGTTACAAATGTTCACTATTATTATCATTATTACGTAGAAGCTAGTTCAAATAGAAACAAAACTTCAACAAAGCAGATTATATCCTCCGCCTCGTCCTCTATTTTGTCTTGTGCTTCTTCTTCTTCTTTTGTTCTTCTTCTTCTTTTTCTCCTTCTTCTTTTTATTCTTTTTCTTCTTCTTCTTCTTCTTCTTCTTCTTCTTCTTCTTCTTTTGTTCTTCTTCTTCTTTTGTTCTTCTTCTTCTCCTTATTCATCATCCTATTCTTCTTCTTCTTCTTCTCCTTCTTCTTCTTCTTCTTCTCCTTCTTCTTCTTCTTCTTCTTCTTCTTTTGTTCTTCTTCTTCTTCTTTTGTTCTTCTTCTTTTTTTTGTTCTTCTTCTTATTATTATTCTTCTTCTTCTTCTTCTTCTTTTGTTCTTCTTCTTCTTCTTCTTTTGTTCTTCTTCTTCTTCTTCTTTTTCTTCTTCTTTTTTTTTGTTCTTCTTCTTCTTGTTCTTCTTCTTCTTTTGTTCTTCTTCTTGTTCTTCTTCTTGTTCTTCTTCTTGTTCTTCTTCTTCTTTTGTTCTTCTTCTTCTTTTGTTCTTCTTCTTCTTTTGTTCTTCTTCATCATCCTATTCTTCTTCTTCTTCTTCTTCTTCTTCTTTTTTTTTGTTCTTCTTCTTCTTCTTCTTCTTTTGTTCTTCTTCTTCTTTTGTTATTCTTCTTCTTCTTCTCCTTATTCATCATCCTATTCTTCTTCTCCTTCTTCTTCTTCTTCTTCTTCTTCTTCTTCTTCTTCTTCTTCTTCTTCTTCTTCTTCTTTTTGTTGTTCTTGTTCTTCATCTTACATCTATACTAAACATAATCTTAAATTTTCAGACCCACTTTGAAAGCAGAAACGGCGTTTGGCTAAATTCCCGTTTAGTTTTACTAATCACTAAACATACTTGACCAATACGTAGAATAAGCATAAATAAATAATCATACTCACCAATGTGAAGATGATGATTCCATGTTCACCCGAGCCTTCGACGAACTCTTCCAAATCCTGAAACGATAAAACCAGACATACATGAGATAACGTTTTAGAGCTGGTCAAAGAGTCATGTCGAGTCCTATCCAAGTGCTGCTTGTTAAACGACATCTTCATCATCTTCTTCTTCTTCTTCTTCTTCTTCTTCTTCTTCTTCTTCTTATTATTATTATTATTATTATTATTATTATTATTATTATTATTATTATTATCATTATTTTTATTATTATTATCATTATTAAATCATTAACGCTGGAAAATTAACTTTTGGTAAAAATTATACTTGATAATAATGGATAGTGGTATAGACAAAAATCTTGCTTCGCAAATCTGAATTTCTCTATAACTCTATAATGAAAAGGTTGTTTATGAGCTTAAATAACGTTCATTGCTCTCGAAGCATCGTAATAAAGGGAAATTAAAGGGGTACAGAACTAGAAACTGACCGAAGCAATCGCTAAAGCCTTCATTGAGTTACCTCGGAGGGTGCTATGAATATATATATATATCAAGGAGATACTTGTGACCACCAATGAAATTGATGAAATCACTCGGGTGTACAATAACATTAAACACAACAGAATCAATGCTATAACATTTATAAAACTATATCGGATATCCTGTCTCAAAGGCCAGTACATCCTGCATTGTCAAACGTGATTACTTTTTAATTAGAGAGTCAGCCTCGTAATGAACCTTACCTGTGAATTATATACCCAGGGACTCCTGTATAATGCAATTAAGATACTTATTATCACCATCAAATCTAAACGTGATAACCCTGTGGTTAATTTGGGGGTCAACGTACTAAAAGGCAATTTGCTCTTTTTTATTGACTCCTCATTCTCATTAAAATAAATTGTTCTAATTGTTCTGTATTGCTCCCTATTGGTATTACTATGCCGTGTATTTATTTTATGTATGTTGCTTTTTTTGAGAGAATGAAATAAAGACTGAACAGAACTGAATTGAACTGGGTAATATTAACATTCTACATATGTTGTTACTGTATATTGCATACTAATTGGCGTAGCTTGATTCCACCCATGGAAGGAAGGGAAACTAGAACGAATAATAATAATAATAATAATAATGTAACTTATATCGCGCCAAATCCACTCTGCGGTCTTACAAGGGGAAAATCAAATACGAATTTACAAGGATATTGATTATGGGATTGTGCGAGATTTGGTCAAGGCTTTTTCTGTTTTCCTCCTGTTCACCTCTCCCTTTTACCTTATCTCTTTTCTCTGTTTCTTATTTATTCTTTTTCATTTGTTCATTTAGGAGCACGTAGGCCCTACCCTTCGAGAGCCCTCTGCAGTTACCCCAATGCTTCGTATAAGCCTAATTATTGAAGAACTAATGTTTAGATTGGCCACCATCCAACTTTTAAAGTATTGACTTTGTCTGGGTTTGGAGGGACAATTATTAAATACAGTGATTTAAACACTCTTGATTAGTCAAAGAATCGTTAAAAAGTCAATCACTTGAAAGTTATAACTACTGACCTGGGAATCAACTTTATCGCCGGATGTCTCCACACAATGAATTGCATGTAAACGACTTGGGGAAGGATACACATTTAACCACACAAACAAGTCATGTCCAAAGTACACCCGATAAAGTACAGACAGGCTGATCACATTTGTTTTTTAAATACTTCATGCATGTTTACACTTGAGTATCTCATCCTATCACTTCCAAGTTCTTATGATGTCACATAGATAACAGTTCTCGCTTGAAACATTTTGCAATGACTGCTCGAAATGTGATATAACTCGATCATAATGAATTTGAATATATTCATAGAATTCATATAACATACAATCCAATAAATAAGACAATAATGATAATAATTCCTCCTCATGTCTGGACAACAAAATGATAAACGACTTTGTCTGATCTTTTGTAAAACCCTGCATGCAATGATGGGGACACAGAATAGGCCTGGGTGATTTTTTTCATCCGATTGACACAATTATCGAGAACTGGCTCAATCAACAGGCCAGCAGATCAAAAAGGTCGCTGTCTTAAAAAAGTTCCTGCCACATTTGCAATATAATTGATCACTACTACATACGGCCTATTCATTAATATAATTTAGACTTTAACTATCAAAGTAAACTTGTGTTTCATAATGTGTGAGGCAAAGAGAATCTCAAAAGTATTATTTTGTATTAAGCGATAATATGACATGATGCGGATCATTAGGCCTTTAATTATCACCACCATCATCAGTATTATTATTTGTTTTATTATCATCATTATTATTATCATTACTATTATTATAATTCCTGTTGTTATTGTTATATCATTAATATTAGTATTAGTGTTAGTATTAGTATTAGTATTAAACTCGTATTAAAGTTGTAGTAGGAACGTGGACCTACTACGTCGATCACAAGGTCCGCGGTTCGAATCCCGCCGTCGTACTAATGTCCTTTGGCAAGACATTGATCTACATTTGCCACACTCCACCCAGGTGAAGTAAATGGGTACCTGGTAGGAATGTATACCTTGCAATGCTAGAGCGCCGTATGGCAGCCGTGCTAAAGTCAGGGTAATAATCGGGAGCGCCAGGAGGGTCAACTCTGACTGACACGAGCGCTATACAAGAACCCATTATTATCATTATTAGCAGCAGCAGTAGAATCAGTAGTAGCAGAAGTAATATAGCAGTAGTAGTAGTAGTAATAATAGAAGTAGTAAAGAGTAGCAGCAGCAGCAGTAGCAGCAGCAGCAGCATTAGTAGTAGTAGAAGTAGTAGTAGTAGTAGTAGTAGTAGTAGTAGTAGTAGTAGTAGTAGTAGTTGTTGTTGTTGTAGCATATCAATAACAGTAATAGTGGCAGTGGTGTTACTTTTTCCTCGATTGGAGAGGGGTAACCAGGTTTTCCTTCAATAAAAGACATGTAATATCAAATACCTTTCTTGCTTACCTTCGTCAGTGGCTTGGACGGTTTAGCCGTAATGCCCCCAATTGGTATCCAGTTGGGTCCCATGGGTTGGGGATAGTCCAAGGCGACGTTCGAATAAACGAAGGCCAACTCTGCCTGTCCCATAACCTGTGGTAGCGTGAGATCTGGACGGATGTTCATCTCCTTCTTGATGGCTCTTATCCGACTCGTAATCACGAATTCCATCAGAGGTTGGATAACGACGCGGAAGAGGTTATTCAGGAGACGCTCCTTGAAGGACATTCTATCACTGAAGGAGGTGAAGAAACTGAACGGGACATAGGAAGAAGGGACTGGAATTCCAAAGTGGTCTTCAGTGACGGTTATTGATCTCCTCACCGGACTGATCACAATAAAAGGCACCTCAAGGTATTCTGCCAGAATGGCATCGCAACCAACGATAGGCAAGGTCAGGATCAGGTCAAATTTTTCCTTCTTGAGGCTGTCCAAGGTCTTTTGGTCTTTGAAGAGTTTCGAACAACCTTCTCCGAGTATATGAAGATGTTCCCAGAAGATCCGGGCGACTTCAATCGGCGAGCTCTTGCTTAGACGGTGCTGGAGGCCAGTCAACATATCCATAAACTCCTGGTGCTCTTCTTTAGACCGGGAACTCTTAAAGAAGATCTTGTCAGTCACGGCTTCCGAGGACAGTCCTTTCGTGATCTTGTTCTTCGGAGCAAGCAGAACGACTTGGTGGCCCGCTTGGACTAGAGGTTCGGTGATGGCAGACATGACGATGTGCTGGCTTGGAGTATTGATAACAGCAGACATCGCACACAGTATCTTAGCGCAGAACACCGGGGACAAGCAAGCCGCCAATGAGATCATCAAAATACAACCTCGAAGGACACACATGGTTTCTGTCTTCTGATTGCCCCTATAGGCCTATAATATATCAGCCAAAAATATCTTTTATCCTTCAAGTGGTCCCTTTCAACAGCTCGTCGATGCTATCCTGTGATGGCCACACACTGAGAGGGACAGCTAAATCGAGGACAAGACTCTTTGCTTGCATCCAAACTCAATTACCAACGCACACGCTGATCTGAGTCAACCGCCGCAAGAATCTTCAAACCTGAAGGAGGCAGATGTAAACCTGAAGAAGATGAAGAAGTAGAAAAAGAAGTAGAAGTAGAAGTTTAGAATCAAGCAGTTCCAGAACAGGGTTGCATAAACGTATTCTCCTAACTAATAAATGAGGTGTAGGCCTACATAGGTACCTCCAACGTGCACCATCCACTTCAGACAGTCATCGATATACATATTGATAATGCCAACTCAACAACGTGTCACGACCTCAGTGAAAATATAGAGCATCAAACTTTTTTTGACAATGCCCATGACCTTACAGAGGAACGAATATGCATATGCCTTTACAATGCCTTTCTGTGCAAACAATATGAGGGGAGCTCGGAAGTGATAGACCGAATTGTGAATTTGTAAAGCGATATTTTTAAGCCTATTGACATTGATATGGGATAACCATTCATACACATAGGCTAATAGAAGGGCAAAGTGCGTGTTAGGCATGCAGTGCACGTAGAGCGATTTACTATGGCCAACAAATTGTGATCTATGGTACTAGAGTTTCCGATGAGTATGAATGGCGTATCCAGGATTGATTCTCACCGGGGGGGGGGGGGGGGGGGGTCACCTTCAGGTCACCAAAAGTCCTGACCGGCAAATTAATATCAAAGGAAACGGATTCATAATGGGGGGGGGGGGCGGATGCGATATTAAAATATGCACATAAGTTATCAATATAACAAAAAATGTTATACGCAACTTGAGTCATTACACTTGATTTGATGAAAGAACATTTGTGATAGAAATGTGACACTTAATTGTTATTGATAACGCGATTTATAAAAAAAAATGGGACCCTGCACAGAACATCGCGTTCAAGTAGGGTTTGTTGTAGAACGTTTTAAAGGATCAATGAACCATTCATGATTTGACAGGTGTTTGTGTGTGGGGGGGGGGGGGGATTCAGGTCCCAACAAATCCTGATCGGCAAATCAATACAAATAAATAAATACATAAACATGCTCAGAGCCAAGGCTGACTACTGTATCGTTGGAGGGAGATGTAAGCTCAAGGCACGGGAAAGTCTGGGGGCACTAGCCCCCTTCTTCTTTTTTTCTGCACTCCCGTCCATCCGACGGCGATGATTGCTGTGAAGTGCGCCCTCCCATGTATCAGACACGATAGTTTCTTGTCAACATGTGAATATATATTTTTTCAAACTTTTGTTTATAAATTTGTTTATTCATTGAATTCATATTTCAAAGCTCTAATTCTATTTCATACGTAACATAGAAGCAAAGCGTTTTTCATAATCTTATAATTTTACAAACTGAAACATAATTATTACAAAGTTTGTTATCACTTGATAAACAACGAACATAAATACAATGTAATTACTCATTGTTAATAATGTCACAGTTTATGTGGCTAAAATATAGAACAATTATATATATCATTGTGAATAACTAAAGTGAATAAAAATTAAACAATAATTAAAGTGAATGCAGTAATATCAAATAATTGTGTTAAATAAATGTCTCTTTTTCAACTAGCACGTACATTCGGGAGAAAAAAAAAATTATTTTAAAAATTCCCTAAGTTAATTGAGCTAAATTGTCATCGAATTGAGGGGGGAAGGGGGGGGGGGCAATATTAGGCCGATCGTGCCACGGCTCTACAAAAGGCCTAATAAAGAAATACATTTTCAATATTTATGTTATTAATCACATTATGTGTATAATTATGTCTAGTCAACGTCCTGGTTTTCATTGTATTTATCTATTATGTATTTCCATTTATTACTGTTTTTGTTGTTTATCTTTTTTGTTTTGCTTGTCAAAAACGATTCCAAGTAATATTTCCATTTGGACGAATAAAATTGAATTGAACAAAATTGAATTTTCCATTTTTGCACCAACAGAAGGATTTACAACCCCCCCCCCCCCCCTGGCCACACACCCGAACATAAATATCCCGGCTCCTTCCCCATCCACCTTGGGTAGTAGTACAGTCCTGTTTCCTCTTGTTTATAGCCATTATTCCCGGCCCCCCCCCCCACTCAGTGTTATTTAGGGTACGCATATGCTCGTACCTTTTTTTTGAAAGCACCCCCTATCTGAGGACTGCCAACATTTGCGAACCCCCCTTTCGCGGGCTTTTCGCGTGCTTTTCCTGCCTTGGAGACCCCCCTAAATCAGGAAAAATGCTCAATGTACCCCCCTAAATTCGGAATAATTTCTCAGGAGTCCAAAGAGATGAAAGAAAAAAAAGAAAAACACCCCCTTTTTAAAGAAATCTCCGGGTGAAAAGTCAAATACACCCCTTTTTTTACAATTCTCGGGCCGGACTTTGTCGCACGAAAAGTACCCCTTTACCGGACATTTTGGCAACACGCATGCGGTCATTCCGACCTCTGAGTGGGGGGGCCGGGCCATTATTTAGTAGTCAGTAGATTTTATTGTACTAGAGCTTCCGATTGTAAGCATTTAAATGTACGCATTATTCTTATCTGACGAGTTTCTTCTTTTAGGACATACTCATAAGCTACTCATGAGGGATCTTAAATCCACAAGCCTTGTTTTCAACCAAGGTCACCTCATCTTTCTATTGTTACGCCATATTCTGTTCACTTGTTATATTCATGTCATATTTGTAATGTGGGGTATGAAAGAAAGATAAATAAAACTTGAAACTTGAAATTGAAACTTGTTGTAACCCGCCCTCCCCTCAATCTTTACCCCCCCCCCCCCCTTATCCCGTTGGCGTGGTCACGCCCTAGCTTATCATCAGGGGCGGCAATTTCGGGGGGGGGGGGCGAAATGCGAGGGAGCAAGTGAACCAGAGGGGCGAAGCCCGGGGGGGGGGGGTACTCAGAATCGGTTTGGAATGGGGTGCGCCGCTCAAGCCTCGAAACCCCTACTCATTAAAGAATCATTTTCTCGAAGTAAAGACCATTTTTCACAATTTTGGTAAATTAAAAAAAATCGGACGTATGTTTAGGGATATTTTTGTTTAAAATGGGACCTATGTTTAGGATTTTGGGTGAAAAAGTGACCTATTAGAGTGATACACCCCGTATGTCTTAATATGTGAGTTTACGCCGCCCCCGCCCCCCCCCCCCTCCCTGGGGGCGGAGGTGACAAATCTGACTCCCCCTCACAGGTTTTTGAAGTGTTGTTGTATTAAAAGATTACAGTACTTAGCAAAAATATAGTATATAACCAAAAAATATTTACTTGTACATTTTGAAGGATATTTTGCGAGGGATCGTACGACAACGACTTGTTTTCACACATAACATAATTAGGCTGATACTATTGAAAATGGTTATTGATTGTATTGAAAATGGTTATTGATTTATAGTTACTGGATAATCCGGCCATATCAGATACATAACTGATATGATGATCGCCGAGGAATAATGAACTCTTACGGGCGGCTCCTGTAAGAGCCGACGTATGCTGATAAGGATTCACAAAACTCATTGTTTAGGGCGGGTTTCGAGGGAGTTAGCACAAAAAGGGCACCTACAAAGGGAAATCTCAAAGCGAAAATATACCATTTTTAGACATTGATATATACCCCTACATTGTGATTACAATTATTAGGGATGCTTTCAATATTTGTTTCACTTTATACACCATACAAGATATCAAGCTTTACAGTTGGGTTTGATTGTCTAAAAAGTTGTTGCGAGCGAGCGAAGTGAGCGAGGAAAAAAAAAATTACGATGTGTGAGGTCGCAGTGCGAAAAAATACATCTTAAAAGAGGAAAAACTCAATCCTAAATAGGTTATTATAAGCACATTCTCATAACGGTATACTGAAAAGACCTTTGATAAGTAACGTATAATTAAGTATATTATCTATAGATGACTCAGTTTAAGGTGGGGCGCGTTTAATGATGAGAGGAAAAGGGGATACGAGGAAGAAAAAATGAGCATGTGCCAAACTACAAGAGTAATTATCAGAGGTGAAAATGGGACACTTCTTACATTCTTAAAAAGAGGCACTCACCAGGTATGAAAAAAGTCAGTCATGAGAATAGGAAATGGGCATTTGTCGACGGAAAATGTGCCCCCATCAGATTTTTGATAGGGGCATTTATAAGATATTATTTATATTGTTAAAAAAGAAATTATCAGAGGTGAAAAGAGGCACTTATCGCACCTGAAAAGTGGGCAATGACCAGATATGAAAAGGGGCACTTATGTGAATGAAAAAGGGGCATTTGTAATAAAGGAAAGTGTGCATTAGTTAAAAAAAAATGGGCACCGATCAGATTTTAAACGGGCATTTATCGGAGGTGAAGGGGTCACTTATCTGAAGTGAAAAGGAGTAACTTCTCGTACCTGAAAAGGATCATTTACCAGAGAAGGGGCACTTATGAGAAGGGGAAGGGGCTCTTTTTTAACGGGGCACTTATCATTAGGAAAGGGGCACTTATTAGAAAGAAAAAGGGCACATGTAAAAACATAAGGTGCGCTTATCGATCTGAGTTAAAATGGGGGTAGCTATTAACAGGGGAAGGGGCACTTCTTACAAAGGAAAAGGGGCACTTGTCAAAATAAAAGAGGCACGTATCTCTCAGATTTAAGTAGGACAATTATCAGAGGTGAAGGGGGCACTTATCAAAAGTAAAAATAGGCACTTATGAGAATGGAAAATGGACACTTATTGCAAAGGAAAATGTAAACTTGTCAATAGGAAAAGGGGTACGTGTCAAAATAAAACTGGGGAATGATCAGAGGTGGAAAGGGGGAAGGGGCACTCGATTCTTCCCATGTAAAAGGGGGCACTTTTGAGGGTACTTGAACAAGTGGGGGCACTGTGCCCCCCCCCCCCCCCCCCATTGGAGCGCCGCCTCCGTATACTATGCCTTATATAGCATATATAGCATATAGCGACGAAAAAAACATCATTCAAATTGGGACCCCCAAAAGCTATGTTTGCGAGTGGGACCCCTGTGAAGAATGGACCTCTCCATCCCGGCGGATAGGCAAAGAGACCAACGTAACCCGCCCTCCCCCAAATCTCTACCCCCCCCCCCCCCCCCCCCCCTCCGATTCCAATGGCGTTGTCACGCCTCAGTAGAAGTTGCTTATCATGGGGGATCGCGCGCGTGAGTCGTTTTCATTACGGGTGCGCAGACTTGAAGTGAACTTTAACCTTAGAAATCTGTGCGCGCACAGATTAGCCTAATCAACGTGAAAATGCATTAGAGGCACGCGCGCGCGCATGTCGCATGCATAACAACACAATAGGCGGAACTTAACTGCTAACGAAACTTTTAGCAATGACGATCCATAGTGTGGAATTACATGAATAACAGACTGACGCAGATACAAATTACTGATTCTTGAAGACCTGAAGTCGTTGTTAACGAGTTAGTGTAACTGGAATGCACGATGATTAAATTGTTTTCCTTGAAACAGCAGAAGGAAGGAGAATCACGGACGTCAGGGAAGAGAACGTCCGCTGCACAGCTGCGAATACAGAAAGGTGATGATCGATGAATGAATGAATGAGAATGGTCGGCTTAGAATCTGACCAAGCCCCAAGGCATAGGGTTAGGGTTAGAATATTTTTAATTCAAATTTTCATATGAGATCAGAATTTGATTATTATTTATAAACATGGTTGACATTAAGCTTTCCTGTAAATCAGTAGGGGCGCTGATCCAAGAATAAGGACCTTCCGCATAAACGAGGATCGTCTTCGTAAACACGGACAGGACGCGTCCTAGAAAAAGAAGGATTTTCGCGCATGATTCTTACTCTTGATTCGCACGTTGACGATACAAAAAACGGGTTCCGCATTGATTTTCTGGCGCTAGTTCAGAATCTTTTTCAGCATATTTTTCCTAAAAAAACGAAGATTTATAATGTGCACTTTATCACAGGATTCAGGGCAAACTGAAGCACAATAGGCCTACAATTACATACCAATTACATCGGGCGCGCGCGTGTGTTCAGTTAGCGACTGTAATCGTAATCTAGGGTGTCTGAACGATTTTTCAATTTTCAATTTAGGATCGTTTTTTCACCATTTTTGTTTGATATTTGAATTAAAAATGTAGACCCCAATCAGAACAATACATTTCAAATTTCAAGTCTGGACGATGTTTCTATCAAAAGATACAGCCCCTCCGAAACGCTGCAATATTCATAGCATTTTGATCAGAATCGACGAAAAAGATGTACACACAGAGTTATGTTGTTTTGCTAAATTTAGCCAAACGGCTGTATCGCGCGATATGCAGGCATATGCATAGCGTACGCATTCTATGCGCAACTTGCAGCTTGAGCCACGTTGTCTCCGCGCTATTTGCCATTGACTAGTATGGCTAGCCGTTCGCACCGTAAAACCTGGAAGTGAATACACGTTATCGTCACTGGCAATATCGCGGAGACAACGTGCACATTGTCTCCGCGAAATTGCCATTGACTATAACATGTATTCACTTCCGGGTTTTATTGTGCGTACGGCTATCCATACTTTCATTCACTATACGCGCAGATGTTGCGCGATGTAACCATGGTTTGGACTGAGCGGAGCTCAAGCCTCCATAATTAGCTGATTTAAAAAATGTGGGAAGGATATTTTCAAACTGTTGCGACGAATGATCCCTTGGGGCTAGCGAAAAAAAAAGCACCTGGATATTATCCTTACGTCTAGCCCTACTTAAGCCGCAGGGGCGCGGCTCAGGAAAGTGGCAAATTTTGGAGCTACATGTAGGATGCAAAGGACCATTCCATGAGAAGAAGGACATGACATCAAAAAAAGAAATGTACCTCTTATGTTAATTTTTTGATTTATCACTAACCTTATGCCATGGATGTTCATAAAACATTAGGGCCTTTCAAATTCAATACAATTTATTTTTCATTTTTGTTGATTTCCTAAGATCTCAAACCATCATCAAAAACGTACATGTGGGACTGTAGATGAAAAAAAAAACAATTTATTGCAGATTACACAGGATTCTTGTAATATTTTTTCCTGAAAATTTCGCTAAATTGAAAAAGATGAATATATTTCCATATTCTAAGCCTTTTCTAAGGGGTCCTGGGATATTTAATCTATTACATAGGGGTGAAAATGGCCTCCGGACAAAATGCAACGCGAGTTACCGTAACGTGAGTTACCGACATATTTGCTTCCTGCATTTTACTAGTCCATTGTTTCTTATCTTTAATATTGTGATCTTTTACTAGCAAGTCTCAACCTACTATCAACGTAGGAAAGATTTTGTCAAGATTGTCTAGTATGAGGAGACTGTGCCAAAAGAGGGTCTCATAGAATTGACCATGTCCTTTTTTTGTAATGCGAGTTACCATAATTCAATAATCCAAGAATCTAAAAACGTTTGTTCTTCAATGTTCTTTTTTGTTTCATTCAGTTGTTCTATATCTACCCTGTCCATGTTTGAAAAAAGTATCTTGTAGATCCTAGCAGTTCTAAAGATATAGGCACATTATCGTGTCAATGTACCCATTAAGTGTAACGCGAGTTACCATGGAATGGCCCCAAACAACATTTCAATCGCTGTTTTGACCAAGATATTTTTATAATTCTGGGGGTGGCCCCCTATGGGGAATATGGAGAAAAACCTGCTCTTTCATATGACACCACATTTATTGAGTTTCATCTTCAGGATCACGAGTAATTAAGGTTTGAATTTGATGAATTTGATGAATATTTACTTCATTTTGGGTATGTTTTAGTAGGGTATCTCCACGCCAGAGTTACGGGTCTAATGGATTGACTTCTGAACTAGCGCCGATTTCCTTGATGCATTTTAACATTGACTTATTTACAGAGACTTTCACGTTATGAGTGATAAATCCTCGGGAAGACGGACAACCCATAAAAGTAATCAGCGAACTGGGGATATTTTTTATTTTCGCATTACGAGCGCGCGGTTCAGGAACCCTACACCCGCAGAGTGCCGGAAAAAAACATCCGCAACAATGCGGACGATCCTTATTTTTTATGAAACAAGATTTGTCCTCGTTAACGAGGATATCAGGCTCTGTGGCTCGACTTAGCATAAGCTCTGATTTTTTTTAGCTTTTTTTTTTTTAGCTATTTTTTTCGGTGCTGGGCATGTTTTTTTTTTTAATAAGTTTTTATAGAGGAGGCGCCGATAGCTTAGTCGGTAGAGCAGTGGTCTCTTAATACAGTGACCCAGGTTCAAAACCAAGTTGATGCGCTAGTGCCCTTTGGTAAGGCATTAATTCTCATTACCAGGTTCCTCGAAGAGGACCTAAACCTGTCGGCCATCTGGTTGCTTACTCACAAGCATTTATGCTTTCTTAGCAGTCCGGTAATATAACCACCACCACATTACATGTTCATTGCCTTTTTTTCCTCCCATCTCATTCAGATCTCAGTGACCTAAATCTACCGAAGACGTGTCAGATTGAATTCCCGGACAATGATGATTTAATCAATTTCAAATTAAGCATCTCGCCAGACGAGGTAAGAGTTTATTCCTTAATTCATGCCTAGAATCTCATTAAATCATTTCATAAAACACAGCCCTACCCCGTTTGAAGAACTGATTTAAGCAAGCCAGTACCTTTGCTTATATGGTGCTAGACCTAGACTCTATGGCAATGACGGGCAGCACATACCTGTCAACCCTTCCGAATAATCTGGAATATACTGATTTTCTGGAGTTTTAGGACCTGAAAATGCAGAATATTCAGATTTTTCAAAATTTCTATTTTTTTTTAAATTGTATTTTTAATTTTAATTTTTATTTATTGTTTGCTTTAGACAAATTAAGCATGTTTTATCATGTGCCGCAATTTGAGAGTTCATTTAATGCGTGCCTTGAATGGCTGCATGATCGAGCAGCGAATTAGTATTGGCTTTTCTGGTACAGATTTACCGTGTATTGTCAGTTACACTGCCGCTGCAAGTGCGATTTCTTATTTTCTAAGGGATACAGTGCTAACAATTCCTGATTCTCATTTTCAAATATTGGCAGGTATGGCAGCACAGGACAGGAAAAAATTAATGAAGTTACTTTGTAATTGTAAAAAGGCCTGTCAAAATACAGTGATTTCTTGTTTAAAATAGTTTAAAATCCTTACAAGTCAATATGAATCTAGTTTCATCTGCAATTGACTAGTGCTTCTCCTGGATGGTTCGAGGACGTCCATCTTGGACTTCTCAAACTTGGTCAGTGGCCTAAATAACCAAAACGTTATTAGAAGGGCCAATAGGTTTGATATTTTTGGAATTAGTGCAAAATGTTGTCCTGTTTAAGCTATTTAAACCTTCCCCACCAAAAGTTCTGATTAAATCCCCTTTTGAAGTATACACACTTGGACTTAACGACATACAAATATCACCACTCTGTACCGCCTCAAATTTGAACGAGACGAAGTCCTAGGATTGAGTATGTTTTGGACACTGTGTCGCAACACAGCTGCTATTTTAATGACAATGTATGTTTCTCTCTCTCTCTCACTCTAGCTGTCTTTCTCCTCCTCTTCCTCTTTTTGCTCAGAGGAAGTTGTGGTATTGTAATTTTGATTTATATCAGTTAGGTATTTATGTCATATGTATGAGTGCATTTATGATGGGACTCAGCATTATGTTCTTGGTATGCATGTATTGTACTGTTTGCTGAGAGCTGGAATGGTGTTGGCTCATTCTTATTTAACATTAAAGATAAACTTGAGTTCTGGTAAATATAGAAAATAAATTCTCACAGAATCCAATGAAACTTACACTGAATGTTAAAGATAACAAAAAAATGTCATGTGTTGAAAAATGTTGGTAGAAAATATACAGTGGCTGAGTAATGAGCATAGAAAGATAAAGGAAATCCAGGTAAGTAGGTCCGACACCATGTGCTTAACACAGGTCGCTATGTGTGAATGGGAGCTGTGGTTAATATCGAAGGTGAGGCCCAGTAAGTTTGTGTGCGTTTTTAAAAATAAATTTCACTGTTTCAAACAATTAATCTATGGCCGCAGGATAAACAATCCAAAATAAATCATCACAATTTTCTTTCAGAATACGATTCCCATACCAGAGCTCAAGATGAGCTTTAAATCAACATCTTTCTGGCTATCAGCATATAATATCATGTTTATGCCTACATGTATGTTTAGAACATTTATTTTTTTCTCCTGTATTATTATGCATGGACAATCAAACTTAAATCTTGAATCATGAAGCTTGAATCTTATATCTCATTATCTTTACTTGATTTGTTGCTTTGCAGGGCTTCTACAAAAATGGCAAATTTATGTTCTGTTTTAAGGTAAGTACAAACATATTAAAGAGTCATTCTAAGTTTCCCCTTAAACAGATAAAAAGAGATGAAAAGAACTTGGTAACCTATTTTACATGAGCAGAAAGACCAATAATTAAAGCACAGTTTTAGTCTTTTTCCAATGCAGTACATGGTGTCATTCTCAAATAAGAGTTATTTGATTCTAACTTTAAAAACATTAAATCCTTTAAATTGACAATGCTTTGTAAGCTATGAAATCAATCTTTTTGTGCACAAATTGGTAATACACTGTATATACATGTGTAACTTCAACTTTGCACTTACGGTATCTTTCACATTGCTTTGTTTGAAACATACATGTTTAATTTTTTTAAACTATGAAGGATTGGAAACTGAGATCAATCATCGATTTGAGGAGGGAAAACTTATTAATTTAGAAAGTAAGAAATATCTGTCTGTTCTTGTCGTTATCCCTTTAGGTCTCACAAAACTACCCACATGAGCCACCCAAAGTCAAATGTGAAACAATGGTCTACCATCCAAACATCGACTTAGAAGGCAATGTGTGTCTCAATATACTTAGGTAAGAATGAAGTTTGAGAGAGAGGGAGAGAGAGAGTGAGAGTGGGGGGAGGGAGAGAGGGATGCGACGGGAGGGGAGAGGGGTAGGGGAGGGAAACACGGAGAGAGGGGGAGAGAAAGAGAGAGAGGGAGGGGAGAGGAGAGGAGAGGGAGGGGAGAGGAGAGGAAAGGGGGAGGAGAGGGAAAGGGAGGGAAGGAGGGATGGAGAGAAGAGGGTGGACGGAGGGAAAGAGAGAGAGTACGAATGACATTGAGAGGGAGGGGTGGGGAGGGGGATGGGGCAGGAGGAGGCAATATGTAGCACTCTGTGTACTAGAAACCTGGATTTAGACTGACCAACACTTCTGAACACAGGGAAGTTGCAACAAAACTCTTCGTCCGCATGTACACACGTAACTGGACACTAACTTGTAAACATAATATTTGTTGAAAAGTGAACAAATTTATGGAGAATGCAACTTTAAGAATAGTAATATACATCTTGTCATACCCAGTGCTGGGATTCGTTTGATGTCCACCAATATTTAGTCCAGGTTTTTTTTACCCTTTCCGGTATACTATCAGGAACATAATTAATGCTGTTCAACTTTTAGATGTATACAAGGTCAAACTAATAATCTTATGAATGATCAACTCAACCTGACTCCTCTATTGCTATAGTGCCCCCTTTAGGTCAATGTGTTGCCCAAATCAGCACTAGGCGTTGTGGCGTGCGCCTGTAATCCAGCTTACAGTGGAAGTTACAAACTGATTCAGCCGAGGATGCAGGTTCGAAACTGAGTCACGTCTTTCGGATGGTGACGTTAAAGGTCGGTCCCCAGAGGTAAATAATCATATCTGATTGATACACGTCTGTAAAAACCAAATACACACACACACACAGCATACCACTACAGGACGAGGACCTGTTCTGAATAACAAGGCTTTAATATTTTGATTTTTGTACTGTTGTTTCTTGCTCTCCACAGGGAAGACTGGAAGCCAGTCTTAACGATAAACGCAATCATCTATGGAATACAGTATCTCTTCTTGGTGAGTTCAAAATAATAATAATAAATCTGGATTTATGTAGCACTTAAAATTAAATATCTAGGATTCATTTACGCACCATCTCCACTCCCTGAGGAGCATTCCTACCATATGGTCCCCCTGAGGGCATATGGCAATCACCAACACTAGGCTTTCGTCATCCTACCAGGTCCCCTTTTCTCTCCTGGGTATGGAGTGAACAGTGTAGATAAATGCCTTGCCAAAGGACATTGGAGCTGTGTGTTAAAGTGTTAAAAATAATTAAAAAGTCTCTCAAGGATACCACCCCCTTGCAATATTTTACCTGGGACTATTGTCCCTTGGAAATCCACCCCCCCCCCCCCCCCATAGCTGCCAGGTACATATGTAGTCAGATTTTTATTTAAAATCCAACCTTCAGTTTTGGTTTCAATAGAGAAATGGTAGCGTTAAGAGCTGTAGAATATACATTTATTTGTCATAGTCGTTGTGCTACATGTGTATTAAAATGGTAATATCATTTTTCATCTCTCTCCATCTCTCCCCCTCCCCCTCTCTCTCTCTCTCTCCATCTGTCCTGCAGGAACCCAATGCGGACGACCCTCTCAACAAAGATGCAGCAGAGGTCCTTCGACAGAACCGAAGACTCTTTGAACAGAACGTCCAGAGGTCCATGAGAGGGGGGTACATCGGAAGCACCTACTTTGACCGCTGCCTCAGATGAACTTAGACCCGTACCATTTTAATCTATTTCACCCTTTAACTCTCTCTCTCTCTCTTCCTCACTACTTTTTATTGTATTTCCCCTCAGCTCGGTTATCAAATAGAAATAATTTTATTTTGATTGTCCCATAAATGTTGCTTCTTGATCCTGCAAATGGTGGGAAGAAGGAGTGCGGGTGGCACATGGCCGACGACTCGCTGGCTGGACATACTCTGTGTAGATAGCCTTGTATATTTGTATCTCCACGAGAAGTGATATGGACACCGGTGTTCAATCAATGCTGACCTACATGTATGGTATGCCTCCAATGTCCTTCCTACGGAGAGGTAAGGCCATTGAGCAAGGCATTTTATTTACATCGCTCCTCTCCACCCAGGTGTTTTAATTGGATACCTGGTAGGATGTGGACATCATCGTGGTTGGATTAGCATGTGCGAGCCTGTATAAAGACATCGAGTGTGAATGCTCCTCAGGGAGTGGAGAATGTGCACTACCATGCACGGAAAAGAAAATGAATCCAGTGACCGGGGTAATAAGAATACTATAAGCACTTGGTCAGTGAACTATAATAAACCGGTATTGTTATTGTTATTATTATTATTTTTATTAGAAGTAGTAATCGTAGTATTATTGGTAGTAGTATAACTGTATTATTAATTTTATTGTTATTGTTTCTATTATTATTATTATTATGATTATTATTAATATTACCATTATTATTAGTATTATTACTATTATTATTATTGTTATTATAACTATGATTAATATTATTGATCATTTATCTACTTAGATAGATATTATGAGGCATATAAAGATTTGAAGTACATGTACCTAACTAGAATAAGACAAAAATCTGTCTATTTTTGGATCCCTTGATCGCTTGTTTAGAAGCTTGTGTTTGTATCTGTGTTGACTAATGGGGGAACATTACTGTCGACTACAACTAGATGAAAATATTGTTAAGTAAATCAGTTGGCTTGAGAAAGTCCACAGGAGTTGATAAAGCTTGCCGACTAAATTGCATTGTTGGTAGAAGCCTCAATTATATGTAATATTAATCTCTTCTTTCTTTATAATAGGAGTGATTGAGCCAGTAATTTTAATGCCCCACTGCACTACTTATAGCTACTTGCGCCCTCTATATAGCAAACGATGCCTAATCGGTGACCGCTGGTCCCCATGATCCCCTTTTTCTTATGTTAATTGAGAGCTGATTTGATAAGATAACCACCTGTCAGTGACCTCGCTGGATGGTCTAATTCCTCCTGGCCAAACTAGTGCAGACAGGCTTTAAAAGTAAGGTTTATTTACCTCAGAAATATAGGTACAAGGTAATAAAGCCATCATTAAAAGACATAAGTACGCAAATCATCCAAGAGATTTTTTTTCTTTCATGTGACAGTATCGAACAATCTAACCCGACATGTATATTGTACAAGACCGACGGCTTAAGGTCCTCTCCGAGAGACCTGGTAATGAGGATTAATGCCTTGTGTGTTGTACAGCGTGTTGTTACAATTTTATGGACTTTCATGGCCTAGCGTAGTATTTATTGTAGGGGATAAGTTTGAGATCAGATAATTTTGATGTGAGTGGCCTAATCTATACATCAACAAAGCATGAGATTTAGTGTTAAGTCTGAAATAACTCAGGATTTATTCCAAAGGAAAAGCATTGAAGAAATATGAAACCATATCCATTGATTGAAGCATCTCTTTTTTGAGTCTTTCTTCCATCTTGCTCCATCTAAACAATCGTTCAGATATGATGCGGTATACCGCAGCATTTTTTTCTTTAGGATGACGTAAAATGCTTGATATTTCTATATCTGATAACACACAGCTCAGTGAATACGCCTAGTCACTATTCTTATACGTAAAAAACGTTAACTCTTATTTTATGCATCATTTTGAACGAGTCGTTACTCTTTGACTGTGGCTCTCTTTTCCCCTCATCCATTCTCTCTCTGTGTTATACTAATGAACGTCCTTTTGACTCGAATAGACGATAAAATCATATTTCTTTTGTAATTCCTTCGCGCTTGTTGATATTGCATGTATTTATGTCAGGTAAACATGTATGTACCGGTACATGTATCATGCAAGATGAAAACGGCATACATTTCCAGAATGGATATTCCCTCATTCCTACTCTGGACAGTTTCTATAGGCTCGTTCAGAAACACATCAACAAAAAAAGACACTTTTTTTGTATGTGTAATTACATAAATGGCACTTGTGTGCAACAAAAGTCCTGCATGCATTTACTGAACTCTGTGTTATAAGATACAGAAATATTACACTTCACGCCATCATGAAAAAGCCGCCACGATTTTGTCATGCCATATCTGATCAAGCCTTGGTAGGTTGGGGCTGCCGTCTACACTTTCAAGCTTATGTTGAAAGGGGTAAAAACTTATGTGACTTTTATAGAACTTGCAAAATGTCCTATGAAGGGTTGGTTATTTAGTCATACATTATGTGTCATGTTGTATGTTTTCATTACTCATCCTGACCTTACCTGACTCATGTGTACCATGATACATATACGGTTTCATGTACTCAACCCCTGTGTCAGGCACAGAATTACATTGCCCACCATACTTTATCATGCCTGTATGTGTTCTATTGTATTGTTTCAGTCCTTATATCAGGCACAGGATTTCTTTGTCCACCATACTTTATCCTGCTCATATGTGCATTGAAATTACATGTGTTGTGTGAGCATCCTCTTTATCAGCCTCTCTGTGCTCCGATGACATGAGCCAATCAGAGACATTATTTGGGATATCTGCATTGAAGGGTGCCCTTGCTTAATGGGAATTAAAGATAATCTTTTGTTTTTTGTTTTGTGTGTTAATGGCACCATGAAGCCTCGTTCAGATATGTGGCCGTAAACCGCAGCGTTTTTTCATCATGACATACACATGTACATGGTAAGTGTAAAATGCTTAACATTTCAGTATGTGAACACAGAGCTACTTGTAAGTGAATATGCTTAGGTTCTTTGTTGTGTGCAGTTTCCGTTCATTTAGAAGTAAAAAAAAAACCTGCGTTTTTATTTTTGGTGGCGGTTAACCCCATCATATCTGAACGAGCCTTAACTGTACCTCCATTCTCATCATACAGAGGAGAATGGCGTTCAGACTCGTGGTTATATCTCTGTGGAAAGCATGTATTTAGCTTCTCTGTATGTAATAATACTAGACAAGATTTTTGTAATATTAACTTAAAAATGTGAAAAGAAACGTGAAAAGAAAAAATGTACATTCTATGAAGGGGATGTGAAGAGAAGCTAATAAAGTGAGGTACAGTATTCAATCTACAAGACTCTCCATGTTAGATCGCTATATCTTTCAGTGTGAATGAATGTGTTAGGTGCCACTGAGTCTTCCCCTACTCCAGGGCCCCCCCTTTCACAAAGCCTTTTTTCAGTGACAAAATCAGTGACAAATCTGCTGGTAACCAATCAGAAGCAAGGATTTCACGAGCTAATAACAAAACCTTTCATTTGTCACTGATGAAGAGTTTGTGAACCCTGTCCCAGGTGTCCCTGTGGACAAATCATCTCCTGGTTACTCTATCCTATACAAGCATGCACACCTTGTTTCCATGTGGTCAAACTCAAGACTGTTCTCAGAGCACGTTCTGAACGAGTGTGCTGTAGCAGGAGCCCCATGTCCCCTTACTGATATTGACAACCCACAACTGGGTCCTGTTGCATAAAACTTGGTAATTTTGCCGTCAATGGTAAATTCCATGGAAAACTTGATTTTGATCGGCTGTTGAGCAATTTTACCACCTGAAGGTATAGTTACCATTGATGGCAGAGATACCATGAATGATAATGCAACAGGACCCTGGTGTCATATTTATTTAAAACAATTGTCACATAATAAGAACGGTTTTATGGAACACTATGTAACAATTGGTCCGTGGTAATTTCCTACAATAACCAAATTCTTAACTTCAACCCTGAACGGAACCCATTACAATTACATATATCCCCAATCCTGATCCACACCCAAACCAAAAACCCTAACTCTATATTTTTGAAAAAATATAAATAAAAGAAATAAAACACAAGTCGTGGGTAAAACTTAGATAATCAGAATTTCTTGAGTTTGTATGAAAGTGTTTGATTTGTTGAATGATCCACTATATCATGGAGAGCTGTTGTGGTTCAGTGGATTAAGTCCTTAGAATGCTCGAGTACTGTAATGGCAGCCGTGCTAAAGCCAGGGTATTAATAATGGAGCGCCAGGAGTGGCAATGTGCCGGAGTCGGGCTAAATCGGACCAGGGGACAACTCGGCCCAGGTACAAAAACGGTCAGTTTTTGCATGTTTAGGTTTAGGGTTAGGTTTAGGGTTAGGTTTAGGGTTAGGTTTAGGGTTAGGTTAAGGGTTAGGTTTAGGGTTAGGGTTAGGGTTAGAGTTAGGGTAAAATGACAAAAAATGACTGTTTTTTCAGCTGGGCCAAGTTGTCCCCTGGTCCGAGTTAGCCCGGATCCCAATGTGCCAGACATGAGCGCTTTACAAGACTCTACTATCGTACACTTATCATAATACTAATTTGTAAGATTAAGTCAAGGAGCACAGGCAAATCCACAAATGAAGAATAGTTCTCTTTTATTGCAAAATCATGTTTAGAAGGAACAAATAGCAAAAAAAAGAAAAGATTTTCATCACTAATGAACAAGGTGTAACAGAAGCACAAAAGTCACATTTCAAGATTTTAGTCACAAAATATCACAAACTTTAGAATATAGTCACAAATAATATCTTAGTCAAACATATAAGAATATCACAAGTTTAGGAATTAGTCACAAATAATATATTAGTAAAAACATCAGAATATCACACATTTTAGCATTGAGTCATATATAATATCTTGGTCAAAACATATAAGAATGTCACTAATTTAAGAATTCTGTGACAAATATCAGCCATTCAACAATACACAACAAATCTAATAAATGCAGGGGTGATTGTGAGCACCCTCAACCACGCCCCCCTTGAGTAAAAAAAAAAGAAGAGGATTTTGGGGGAAAAATTGGCATACCAGTAACAAAATCCCCCCCCCCCCCCTTTGAGTAAGAACATTGGGAAAAATCAAGAAAATAAGGGGAAATCTGGAAAATAGGGACAAAATTGAGAAGAAGAACAAAATAAAAGATAAATAAATCTGGTAATTATCAGGCCTGTAAATGGTAAAAAGTACAAGATTAGGTTCAAGATAAACCCACTAATAGCAATATCCATTTACAAAGGTGTAACATTGTAATGAGATCTCAGAAGCCCCCCCCCCCCCCAAGTTCTGTCTTTTCCCCCTTTTCAACATGGCTACTCTATAAAATATTGCCTCTATAATAATAATATAAAAAACAACGATTTTGCTGCGCATGATAATTAGTAGCATTGGAAAACAAAAATACATATTTTGTTTCTTTATTGTAAAACATAAAGAAAAGGGGATCTTTGAGCCCATTGAACACTACACAATTGTCCTGTGATTTGATTTTTGATTTGAAATAGAAAATAAAGGAAATCAAGGAAATCCTGACTTCTCTCATTCTCATCTGGGTTAATACAGGGATCACTCAGTTCCGATTGGCCATAGGTTCAATCCTTAAAGGCACACTGTCCTACTTGTAGCTACTTGCTCCCTCTATATAGAAAACTTCCCCATCGGTGCCTGTTGGTCCCCCATGATCCTCTTTTTCTTATGTTAAATGAGAGCTGAGTTAATGAGATAGCCACCTGTCACAGTGACCTTGCTGGCTTGCTGGGTAGTCTAATCCCTTCTAGCTAAAGTAGTAAAGTCTACCTTTAAAGGGATAGTTGAGTTCTGTTTTCAGACCGCAAATACCTTCAAAGTGCATGGTTATTGCTCTTATTCTTATCTATGACATTTCTAGTGCCCTTTTAGGACCTGATATTGCTATGAAGGTAATTTTAGACCCCAAAATGTGTGAAATTTAGCCAATATGATCATACCAATTCAGCTCCACTTTCAAGAAAATATGGTGACCGTTAACTTATTAATTAATAATAACAATACATCGGCCGGCTAGTTGTGCGTAATATAACCAACACGAAAAAGCCAACATCAGCATTGGCTGGAATACAATGTAGGAGGCGTTTTTTTTTTTTTTTTTTCAACAGCTGATTTAAATTACTCTCATATAGTACTTTCTAAAAATAGGTCAAATATTTCTGGTCATGTGACGAGCTCTCAACCAATCAAAAGCACCCTCTGCAACAAAACTCAACTATCTCTTTAACATACTGTGGCCAAATATAGCACGGAGGAGTTTATTAACACAACTATTTGGAGTTTAGCATGACAAATATATTCAAATTTATGTTAATATACAACTGATGCTTTTTATCAAACAACGTCTTTGAAAATTGGGTAGCATCCCCATCTAGTACATGTAGTAAGCGCTTGCCACTTAGCTCAGCCATTAAACAAATGTAATATAAAAATATTGCAAAATGCAAGCAAATCATAAATGCTAGTTTCAAGTTCAAATGCACGATACAAATATCATAAATCACATTAATAAGATCAATTTCCAGATAAAATATAGATTCTGCATGAAATATTCACATGGATACTAATCAGCTCTAAGCAGCATGAAAACATTGTTTCAATACGAGATATTAACCCATAGCAGTTCAGAATTAATCAGCTTTTCTTTCTCAAATTGGCAGTCTTTTTTCCTCAAATCCGCAACTTTTATTCACATTTTCCATTCTTTGCATTTTCCATTCCATCTTATTTAAGAAAAAAAATATATGAAAAGGACCTGTGTGAATGAAAATGATACATAATATAAAAAAAGAAAAAATATCAAGAAGAAATAAGCGAGTTCGTAATCACGATTTGCGCATGGGCAGATAAAGGTCATTCGTATCCAAATTGTAAAACCATTGAGACGAATACTCAGATCGTGCTCATGAAAGTTATGTAATCAGTATTCATTTATGTACCAACAGTACATTTACTTGATACACAGGTGGAAGTATTCTTCTCAAGAGGCAAACAAAAGGTATTCATGAAGCACCTCCATCACTTTGGCAGTGATTATTCTAAAATGCACACGTGGGAAGTATCCATCGTGTCTAAGATCTGTGGATATTTTGGGGTCAAGCGGTCCAGAGCTATTTACGGACTCGCTTATTGCTACTCCACAAAAATAATGATCATGAAATTCACACTATGTTGACAATTTAGAGACTTCAATGATTATTTTTCAATTAAATTTCTCTTTTTCATAAACAGAAAAATGTACAGTAACTGGAATGGACTCGACATTTCAAATGACTTTTGGACTTCACGTTAAATTGTAAGTCAGAGCCTTTTCAATGAAAATATTAACAACAAAAATATGAAAAGGTGATACCGAACTGCTATTAGTAAATTTTTCACCAACACATTATTCAATTAGCACCAAAAAAAGTACATTATGTATACATTTATACATCATATATAGTCATGAACATATCACAACATTTATCACTTGATAGGGGGCAGTCCAATACATTACCAATTATTCTACACTTTCATTGTAAAAGTGACTTTAAAGGGGCATGTTCCCCGTATTCCAGAGGGCGCTCAAAATACGTACGCGCTGGCGGACAGCGCTATAGCTGCCTATTGACACCAACAGAATACGGCACTCACGCAGATGGCATGTTCTGATAACTACACTGGCGGGGACGTGCCCCTTTAAGTCAGTAAGTGCCAATCTAACAACAGCCCTGATGTCTAATCGATACTCGACCCAGGCGAGGCAAATGGGTACCTGGGAGGAATTAATTCTTTAAAATGATAAAGCACCATAAAAGTAGCCATGCTACAGCCGGGGTAATAATTGCGGAGCGCCAGGAGTGTCATGTCTGAAAGACATGAGCACTACACAAGAACCCACCATCTGTTTAGCTATCTAGCTAGAACTCACTATTTCTTGTAAATCTTATATTTGAATTTGAACAATAAGTTGGCCAAATAAGAGATCTATGATCTATGTGGTTGCCCTCACAAAGAGCATTATTGATGCTGATGAGGCATCCCTCTGTAAACAAAATCATTTTTATTATCGTCGCGGTCATATTATGTACATGTATCATTCATGCAGCCTTCAGAGACAAGTTAGGTAGCATAGCAAAATGCAATGGCATGAAATGATGCGTCAGGAATGCATGATCGCTGGCGACATCTGTGAATAGAAAATGTTTACTTTGACATGTTTTAATAACATTTTGGGGTCACATGAAACCAATCAAGGTAGCAGAAGTTATTAATAGCTCCTAATCCTAATGACAAGGTAACTTCTAGCCCAAAAACATAAAAAGATGATTTTCAACAATTACGCGTCTTGCGTTTCAGACGCAACTTTTCAATGCTGGCATTTTGCAAAGCTACCTTAGGCTCTATAATTTCAATATTTAAAGCTTAAAACCAGCACACAACTTACAATAGCCTTACAAACCTATACAAATCAAGTACTATCCACTATTTATAATCCAAAACACTTTTATATTCATCCACAATACACTGTTAATTTACTTTGTACATACGAAAATATAAACATTTCATATCTTACAATTTGGTCCCTTTCACAGTACAGTGTACATATACAATGTCTAATTAGACATTGATCAACCTACAATCAACATTAAATCTTAAATTTCTCATTGACATATATCTATTTTTCAATTAGATGGCACTTACCAAGATACATGTGTAAAGTTAGGAGGGATGGTTAACTATTAACATAACAAATCTTTTCAAGGTGCTTTACAAGATTTTAAATAACTAAATAACTATAAAAATAAAACTGATAATTGAGTTGGCTATACTTTAAGGGAACTCTAAAGGCTCGTCAAGATATGACGTGGCGAACGCGCTGCGTTTTCTGACGACGTAAAGTATAATATGCTTCATATTTCAGTGTTGTATAACACCGTTAGTGAATACATAAAAGATCATTGTTGCGCACCGTTGCCATTTATTTATCAATTTTAAAAAAAGGCAGCTTTTTTTGTGGCTGTTTACCACGTAATATTTGAGCGAGTCTTTAATTATAAATACTGTTTTGAGATGCAATGCTTCTTTGAGTTGATTCAAATTGAGAAGGATAATTTTAGGAGATGAAAATGCTGCTTTTGAGTAGTTTTGAGTCATCTCTAGTTCTATGGTAATATATGTTTAGAGCAAGGAGGGATATAAACTGAGTCAAATCATATGAGTTGTAGTAGCCTTCTCGCCCTCCACAACACTGTCTTAGCACCAGATGGAAATGATTGAGTTGATTCAAGTTTTGAAGGAGAGTGATCTTAGAAGATGGAAATGCTGCTTTTGAATCAATTTCAGTTTTTGATAAGAAAATGCGTAATTTGAGTTGAAGTCATTAATAAATATGTCAACAAGATAATTTTCTATTGTACTTGACTGATAAATCAGTTATTGTGATTCTGTGTAAAGCATCAACATTCAAACTCTGTTTGAAGATTTACATAATGTACAAAGAGTTAATTTTATTGTTTAGAATACAATTTTTACTGTTTAGAATACAATTTTTACTGTTTAGAATACAATTTTTACTGTTTAGAATACAATTTTAATGAATACCCTGTTTTATGCAGCAGAAAAAAAAAAGAAAAAAAAACATGAGTCGGAGACAGGCTATAAACATGAACATTATAAACCCTAAACCTATATCCAAAGTGTTGAATTGGGAAAGAGTAATAGCCCTGAAACAAAGAGAGAAACTCAGAATATATGCCCATATTTGGTATAGTTTACTTTAAATATTTCTGGAAGGTGTCACATCATATCAAAAGGAGAAAAATATTTGATAGACTTTAACAGATAACAACTGTAACAACAACGTATGCCCGTTGTATGTCCAGTTAACAACTTAATTATTTGTATCCTTTGTAAATTTAACTTTTCTTTATTTTTCATAACTCAAGAATGAAAGTTGGACTGGTTAAATTAGGGCCTTTGTTGAATACTTTTAGATGTAAGCTTTAATAAATGATGGCACACTCTCAAGTAACATCAATTTGGACAACCATTTTTTTCACATTCTTAAAGAATTTACAAAACTTGGGTATGAACAATGTAGTTGTTAACTGTACATGTACCGCTACTCACTTCTTTAAATGTACATCGTTTGCATACCATGAAAATATCAAAATCAACAAAATGCATACTTTGACCAGAAAGTACTTTATACCAGCGGGTGATCCAATACACCTTAATGAAATGTACATCTCTTGGCATCATCGGTTTAACCCCATAAGGGCTAGATGGAGATCGCCATTGAAACTTACAAACCTGATCGAAACCAACGATCAGGGACCAGTTTCACAAAGCCTTTTTTTCAATGACAAATGACAAAAATCAGTGAAAAATCTGCTGATATATAACCAATCAGAAGCGAGGATTTCAGTAGCTTATCACAAAAACTGTCATTGGTCCCTGATGACAAGTTTTGTAAAATGAGGCCTAGATGATGAGGTGGAATTCCCTCAAGGAAACCAAACTGGTAACTCATCAATTGAACACCTAGTTCCATCAAGGAACCGTTGCGAGATCAGCCAATCAGAGATCCTCGTACGAAGGGGGCGGAGTCTCATCACCGCCTCTCCGTCGGGTATCCGCATCCGACTTGATAACCTCTGAGTACGTCGGCGGGATGTCGTTCTCATCGCCCTCGTTGTCCTTTGATCTGTCCCTGCTCGTCGTGAAGCGCCGTGGCCCTCCCGTCATTTCAAGCGTTGCGAGTAGAACATCCGGGGGCTCGCCCGGCACCTGTTCCCCGCTGCTCAGTGGGTACCCCACCAGACCGTTAATCCTGGGGCAGCGGTGGGGCGGCAGGTGGTGGCAGAAGTTTGCATGCTGGGAGACGTGGTAGGGCATGCTGATGGCTTCACCATGCTGGTTCAGGGTCCAGCTGACTGGGGAGTAGAAGCGACGCTGGGAGCTACGGACCCGACGGAAGTAGATGAGAAGGGTTACTATGACGACTGTCATGAGGACGGTGCATGTGATGATGAGCAGGTTGGATCCACCCGATGGAGAAGGAGCTGGTTTGGGCTCCTGCTCTGGAACATCTCGTAACTGTGTTACTATTAGAGAACAAGGAAAACACATCTATCATTAGTCCAATGGCTTCTATTGGTAAATCAATGGTAACCCTCTTGGCGTGGATGGCACACAGGTTGGTGTCCTCAAAGAGGCCAACTAGTCCAATGGCTTCTATTGGTAAATCAATAATGATCAATCAATATCGATTTTAGCAACTGTCCACCACCAGCATGGTGATGTACTGTAGCTATACAGTAGGCTTGCGGTTGCACCGTGTGAGCGAGGGGGGGGGGATCCTTTTCAGGACTACACACACTCAGAAAGAAAGATTACAGAGAGTCCTTTCCATGACTCCCTTATCCCCCCCCCCCCTCTCTCTCACATGGTGCAACCGAAAGCCTACTGTACACAACTATTATTGTCGTACCCAAGAACCACAAATACAGGATCAACATCAAACATGCAGAATCGTTCTAAAGATGAAGAAAAGGGTAGGTCAGGTTGCCTTTCTATTTAAAGTGTGATATTAAAAAAAGGGAAAACAAGTATTAAATTGTAGATGAGACCTACATGTACATTGTACATGTTCTACATAATAATTTCATAATTAAATGCCTAGATCAGTCACATGATGGCATCCAGGATGGTTTTGTGACAGAGTAAGAAACCTGGGCCCCATCTCACAAAATTGTCATCAGTGACAAATGACAGTTTTTTTTGTTATAAGCTAGTGAAATCCTTGCTTCTGATTGGATATCAGCAGATTTGTCACTGATTTTCGTCATTTGTCATTGAAAATAGACTTTGTGAAACGTGTCCCTGAATTAATACTAACAAATAAATAATAAATAAAACAGTGAGACAATTGTAACACTTTTTTATTTACACCCATCTCAAGGCAACTTTTGTTTACGTGGCCCGTAGAAATACTGTATTAGACGTGTTAAATTTCACCTTGTTATTGTCATTATCATGTGTATACATGTACATATTTGGTGTTCTAAAAAAATCTGAGAGAAAACTGGCAGGAGTAGTGGGGTCTAGTGATAGAACTTGTTCTTGGAACTTACTGCAGTTTATTTCGTCCTCTCCTTTCTGACAGTCTTTGAAAAGATCACAACACTTGTAGCGAGGAATGCATGACTTGTCTTCACATTCAAACTCCCATATGGCACACTGTGAATTGGGTTTCATTGATGCTTTAAGAAATGAAAAAATACATGTTAAGTTAACAACTGAATTTTTCATTACCACTCTTACCAAGTTTTGTAATGATTTATTATGTGAAAACCAATTTTTTTTCTTCTTTTTTCTTTCTTCCTGATTTAATGTTTTTGAACACTCAAATTGAAGTACTTAAACAAAGGCCCCAATTCAACCAGTTAAACTTTCATTCTTAAGTTACGAAAGACATAAAAAACAAAGAAGGAGTTACCGGTAACTGTAAACCTTTACAGGTTGTAGTTGGGATCTACATGTAGTTGTAGATTAGGGTAGAGTTGGCCATGGTCAATTCCAAGGGTTACGCAATGACATTTCAAGAGAATTGTCTGTTTCTAATCATGAACTTTATAGACATTTTACTAAAACATCTGCAAATTAATGATATCTTATGATAACTAGAATGAGGAATTTTCACAACAATTGGGTTTTGTATCAAAGTTGAATTTCATTGTTAGGTAATTGTACATGCATGTACATGTAGAAGGTCAATTTGGGGTAATTATGTAACAAAAGCTTAAAAATTTCAATATTTTATAAATTCGACCAATGGTTGAGAGGCAACTCAACTGTTGTTAAAGTGCCTCATAGTAGAAACTGATATCATTGTCATGTTTAAAATGTCTATAATATTCTTCTTTTAAAATTTCAAACTTTCTGGGAACGTCATTCCGTAACGCTTGGACTTTAATTGGTATTTAATTATGTAAGAAATGCACAGTAAATCTCGCAGGAATATGTGTTTTAAAGCCCATCTGCATTAGTTTGTCCTGGACGGATTAGACCTACCTGCGTGGTCACTGGCAGGTGTTTATCTCATCAAATCATCTCTCAGTCTCAATTAACATAAGAAAAAGGGCATCATTGGGGGGGGGGGGTCAACAGGTACTGCTTAGGCATTGTTGGCTGTAAAGAGGTCGCAAGTAGGTATAAGTAGTGCAGTGGGGCTTTAAAAGAGGCAACTTACAGCATGCTATTTCATCGCTTCTATCCGAACAATCTGGGATACCATCACACAGCGACTGACCGACCACACAAGAACCGTCCCGACACTGGTAATCACTGGAGCTACAGAATGTAGAGATGGGAGGAGAGTCTGGTAGACCTACAAGTACAAAATAAAAGCAAAAATTAGTCTGGCTGGCTATTCATTGTCACCGCGATATCATGTACATATTTAATATTTAATTTAATTTTCATTTAATTTTCATGTTTTTTATGTTTAAATTTGTATTTACCTGATTGTACAATCTATTACATGTAAGCTTTATAGGAATTGTGTATCATTAATGTTGTTTGCAATAAATTATTTTCATGTATCAGGTATAAATGTTCATTTCTATTCCGCCCTTTTCCTTCTTTTCTAAGCGCATAGGGACTTTCTTTGTGTTAGTGATATGCGCTATACAAATAACGTTCATTATTATTATTATCATTAAGTCGGTAGAGCAGTGGTCTCGTAATCTGATGACCCTAGTGCGAAACAAAGTTGACGCGCGAGTGCCTTTTGGTAAGGCATTATAAATCTAAGTTCATTACTAGGCTTCTTGTAGAGGAAGGCATCAGCCGTCTGGTTGCTTACTAACAAGCATTTATTGCTTTCTTAGCTGTCAGGTAAAATAACCACCACTATCTATCATCATCTACAATGTATCTTCACTCTGGTGATCTCGAAGCAGCAGACAGCAAGAAAATGTGGGAATAGTCACTTCCTTGGCTTGAGAAAGTCCACAGCTTACATACATGTACTAAGTTTTTAGGCTAGTAGAAGATTAAACTACCTGTTATGATTACCTCCACCAATGAAAGTTTCAATATGAAAGCCCTTTCTTCATCCATCATGAATTCAGGTTCATGCCATGGGCTGCATATATCTCATCCTCAAATTTGAAATTTGAACATTTTGGACTATTTTTTCTTTCTTTCAGAGCTATTTCCTATTGAGTATAAAACTATAGATTTTCGTTTACCAACAATTAAAGGGCAAAAAAGGATACTTTGCCGAGGCCTACTGCATTATGTTTTATTAGATTTTTAGTCATACATCAAACTGTACATGTATTCAAAATATTCTAACGAAACCTGCACATACATGTGTAAATCATCATTAACAAAGATGCGAATCTAGCCATCGGCAAAGTTACCATCATTATCAATAACAGTCCCATTGGCCCGAATTCACAAAGGAGGTTTGTAGACAAACCTAGGTTTATGTGTGTCTGTCATATGACGCATTTCAGACCAAGGTTTGTCTGTACCTTGGTTTGAAACGCATCAAAATGCATCATACATGTATGACACACATAAACCTAGGTTTGTTGACAAACCTCCTTTGTTAATTTGGGCCATTATGTTTGCTATGAATAATCATTTACTTGTACCCGGTACTTGATTGCTTTCAGATCTAGATTTAGATCTACATGAACATGTAGATGCTCTTGTGTCATGCGATGTCGCCTTTCTCCGAAATAAGTGCACACCTCCTGACTTCCATACCATTTCCTTTATTATGTGTTCTACATATTTCTTTTTATACATCTGTGAGAAATATATAGTTATTTTTGTTATTTAATAGATGACAAGTTACAAGCTACTGTTATAAGCTAGTGAAATCAAGGCTTCTGATTGGCTGAGAGCAAATTTATCATAGAAATTAGCATTTGTTATAGACAAAAATTTTATGAAACAGGCACCAGAGCTATGTTAACAATCTAATCTGTTGATGCCTGAACCGGTTCTTGTTCACAAATCACAAAAGTAAGAAAAAAGGAAATGAATAATATAAATAAAAAAATACCTTTAAATGTTTCACAGTTTTTCCCAGTCCAGTACAGATCACAATGGCATACAAAGCTATCTCCTATTCGCTGAAAGGTACCTCCGTTCTTACATACCAGACTCTTACAGGAAAAATGGGCTGCAAGATAAAACAATATACAAGTGAACATGTCACTATGAACGTGACGGACAAAGAAAGCGGACAAAATATACAGTTCCTCAGGTAGACAAAGGAACATCCCTTCACTGCTATTACTGGTATGTAAAAATGTGTAGAACAGGTGAATATGCATGTGACACCTTTTCTACACATTTTTACATAATAACAGTGAAGGGGTGTTCCTTTGTCTACCTGAGGAACTGTATATTTTGTCCGCTTTCTTTGTCCGTCATTATCATAGTGTGTATTTTTACTCTTTGTTAGGGGGGGGGGGGTTATTGTTACATGTGTGTAAACATTATTATTACTTTTCTTCTCTTCCTTCTCTTCTGCCTTCTTCTTTTTGCTCTTTTTCCTTCTCCCTTTACTTCATGTCCTCCTCCGACTCATCTTCTTCCCCCCCCCTCCTCCTCTTTCTTCTTCTCTTCCTCCTTATCCTTTTTCTCTTTCCTCCTCTACCTACTTTCTTTCTTTCTCTCTTTCTTCCTTTCTTTCTTTCTATCTTTCCTTCTTCTTCTTTAGTATTGTTTCTAATTATATATTTATAGCAAATTGCATTCATGGCAAATTACATATGTACAGTACATGCCAATCTTGAACACTGATATTGAAAGTAGAACTACATACAGTATCAAAATAGATCTCCACCCCTACCTTATACTTTGGACATGTTGGTGACAACCTTTTTTATTCAAAATTTAAAAGAACCCCTACCATACTAAATGTTTCAATTTCAATTTTAATTCAATTCAAATTTAAAGCAGATCGTACAACATATTTTACTATTGAAATGTTATAACTGCATAATTACGACATGTATTATTTCACGATTATTTGATATTAGTTGTTTAGTTCATTAGAATCAGTCATTAATACAATGATTGCTAAAAGAATTGATTTCTGTTATTCTTGTATGTATTTATAATTTGTAAACTGAATTGTACGAGTCTCCAGACTTTTTATTCAGTATGGTTTTATTCACAATAAACCCAAATTGAATTGAATTGAACAAGTGAACATTTTATCTTGATTTTCTTGTTATTGTTACATGCATTAAAGACCTCTCTCACTCACCTTGTGTACAGCGACATGATGTCCATCCAGAGTGTTTGTCCTTAATACATGATTCATAGGTTAAGCATTCCTGGTCTATTGTGCAATTATAACCAACTGGTAAAGCTGTGGGTAGGGGACAAGAAGTAAGAATAAAAGATTACATATTTTATCTGGGAAATCATGCCTCAAAAGCTTATATTGTACAGTCAAACCTGCTTTAGTGACCACCTGTCTACAAAGACCACATTTTTTGTTTTCCTTGAAAATGGTTTCTCATTGAAACATGTACTAAAGAAACCTGTCCACAATGACTTCCTGTCTACAAAGATCACGTTTTGTGTTTCGCTTGGGCGGTCGCTATAGACAGGTTTGACTGTAAATACCAACCAAGACAGACATAGCAGTCTGGAATGGGTCATTCTTTTAATAAAACTGACGTTTGTCAACATTCCCAGAGGAGCCAGATGTAATCTCAGCTGAACAACCGTCAATATCAGAGACTGACGCTTTTGCTCTAATGCCAACGTAGACCGAAAGCTTCAGTCTCTGCAGCCTCTGCAACCTCTGTGAACAGCTTTAAAGGGACTTTGTAACATTGTTAAGATGAGAGAAAGTGGTGCAAAGGTAGTGACTTCAATGGTTTCGGAACACACTCAAAAATAATCTGAAAATTTGAGTGAAAACGGACCATTCTTAATGATACAAATTGAGAAAAACTGATCTGATCGATTCCTTAATTCTTCCAACTATATTATTACAATTTAATTACATTTTAGGTAAATAAATGTAAATCATCACAAAGCAATACATTGGCTCTACATATATCATTCCAGACATTTACATGTAAGTGTTGACAGATTTTTTCTTGCCTGTTTTACACGTACATGTACATGTATGTCTTTTTTTCATGGAAAAATTCAAAAATGGTTGGGAGAATTTACTGTTGATCACTGTTAGAGGGTGTTGACCAGCGTCGCCCTCTAGAAAACCATTAATATCTTTGTGGTTTGAGAATTTTTCAGGATTTTTTGCATGTTAAACCCCGTCTTAAAGAGAAGGTTGAGTTCTGGGAAGAGGTGAAAAATAATTTGTGAGCGTAATAATTCTTATTATGCAAGTGTTGAAGATCATCAGATAAGACATGTTCCCTGAAAAGCATGGCTCTTCAAATGCCTTTATATTCTAAATATGTCAGTACCATCGTAAAACTCGGGGGGTAGGATTTTTACGCCACGTGTTCGTGTTGTCCCATATACATCTTTCTGTGTACAGTGTTTGTAACTTTACCAAGACTTGGCCAAATTTCTTATCATTTTGATGATTCTAGAACCTTGCAATACACACAAATTCTTATATGCTAGGTGATCAACCTTTTCTGGTCGATTCCACACCGTTTCTTTCACAATGCAATCGCATGACCAGAACTCAACTTCATCTTTAATTGGAATATAAAGTCGCGGTGACGCCCGGACGTTGTCCGGTCGACATTGACCCTCTTCCAATTAAGACGCGTCAATCGGGGTAACGTCCGGAGTCCGGACAATATCGATGTAAATCTCACCCTAGACGAGCCAGGGTGACATTTACCCGGGTAAATTACATCATCGCCTTGAAACAATGTATACATGTACACGGCGCACGCCAGCTGATCGCTGGGTGAGGTTTTTGCGGATGGCTGATTAAGACGGTGTCCAAAAGCTCACCCCCTGTTTTACGATCAGACCTCCCACTGTTTCTCATCCACATGTCACTCGGGTGAGATCAAAAAAGTTCTATTAAGACGGGGCTTTAGAGGGTTAGTACAGTAGAAGGAAGATAATAAGTAACACTTCATATCAAAATTACGCCATTTTTTAATCAACCTTCAACAATGTTACCAAGTCACTTTAAAGCCAGAATCGACAAACACTGGAAGAAGGAGCAATTTAATTCACCCTTCTCACAGTAGACACTCCAATTACACGTAGGTCTCCAATTATGACGATCCTGATATGACCCAGCAAGCAAGATACAGATGTAAAATAAAATGGCCGTGGTGCAAAACCTGGAAGCTGGGACATCCCCCCCCCCCCCCCTTGAAATCAGATCTGGAAGCTTGGCGTGTTTTCCACTTAACATAGCCTGCGGGGAGGGACACGTTAACACACAAGTGACACAACGCTGGCTTCAGTCATCCGCCTGGGTGGGAATCGAACTTGAGATTTTTGGTTCGACAGGCAGAGGCTTTACCGACTGAGCCAACTCGCCTCTGTACGTACAGATGAAAAGTCATTGAAGAAGTGTAGGCAAGGATATCACATTTATCTTAAATTTAGATCAAGTGATCCACATGATAATGTACGAGAAGATCTTCTTGCGCTTAGAAACATTGTACTAAGCGCTTTATAAATGAAATATATTATTATTATTATTATTATTATTATTATTATTATTATTAATATCAATTGCCTGATTTAAACAGATTGATGATTGTTTGCAATTGAGTAACTAAATAAATATTAAGCCTGTAGAGATATGAGTGTGTGTGGAGTATTGTGAATGGAAATTGTATAAGCGTGTTCACTCGTCACACAACATAGATGAGAGCAGGAGTGAAGAAAAACCTTGTGGCGTTGAAAATACGCGGGTGAAGGAGTGCGCAGAAACACGATGCGTGATTGAACGAAAATACACACGTGGTCCGAATAATGAATATAAATAAGTAGCGTGATGGAAAAATACTGGAGACATGAATGTACATGTGATGTACGGTATAAGTAGGGCGAATGTAAGAGCCGCTACAAGCCTAAAGTAAAGCCAAGGTAAAGGCTATTAAAGCTACAGAGCAAGGCCTACTTTACCAGTAGGGGCGCTGGTCCGAGAATGAGGATCTTCCTCATAGACGAGGATATCCTCATAAACATAGACAAAATGCGTCCTCTAAAATAAGGATCGTCTGCATTTTCAAGGACGTTTTTTTCATCGGCGCTCTGCAGGTTTCGGGTTACCAAACCGCCAGCTGGCAATGCAAAAAATGCAAGAAAATAAACCTAGTTCACTGCTACTTTTATGGGCTGTCCATCTTCCCAAGGATTAATCGCTCATAATGTGAAAGTCTCTGTACAACTAGACAATGCGAAATGCATCAAGAAAATGCATCGCCAACACCCAGATCAAAAGTATGAAACGTCTGCGGAAATGTGTATTATCCTTATTTTTTAGGACGCCTCCGTCCGCATTTTAATACGAAAAAGGGTGCGTTTATGCAGACGATCCTTATTCTCTGACCTGAGCTGAGCCCCGACTGTTTACCTCCTTCAATATTAACGGATATTACACAGCTTACAAAATTCATAAAAAATTGTCACGCAAATGATGCAATATAATCTCCACTTTGTCAATAATGTTAAAATAATCATAATCACGCACAAATATACACACTGCAGCCTCACATGCATAAGACTGTCCCGCGGGCCAGTCGGCCTGCCAGCCAGACAGCGCCAGGTTGACATTTCAAAACATGACCAATTCAACTCACAAAGTCACAATGCTGCACAACACATATCAACACAACATAGCTAGCTCTAGACCGAATTTTCCGTCTCTTTCGTTCGTTAGCCTCTTATTGGGGTAGGGTCGGCTCTCTCTTTAGAGACGGAAGCCGTTTATACACATGTCCTTGCTAACGCCACGGCCAGTTCTGGTCGTAGCGTTTTGCCCCCAAAATCCCCCAAAATGTCATTTTACCTCGAGCATGTTATATTGTAAATTAGGCCTAGGCTATAATAAATCAGTTTCACTTACCAACTTGACTGAAATAATCAGTTTAATAGTCCCTTTTTAGGAAATTATGGGTCAAAATCGGAATCCATGTTGAAAAAGATTTTCAAAATGGATTTCGATTTTGACCCATAATTTCCTAAAAAGGGACTATTAAACTGATTATTTAAGTCAAGTTGGTAGGTGGAACTGATTTATTATAGCCTAGGCCTAATTTACAATATAACATGCTCGAGGTAAAATGACATTTTGGGGGATTTTGGGGGCAAAACGCTACGACCAGAACTGGCCGTGGCGTTAGCAAGGACATGTGTATAAACGGCTTCCGTCTCTAAAGAGAGAGCCGACCCTACCCCAATAAGAGGCTAACGAACGAAAGAGACGGAAAATTCGGTCTAAGCTAGCTCGACTAAAGTAAAGACAAAATCATTACCAGTAATATTCGGAATTACGTGATGGCAAATCCAACAGCAGCACGAAACAAACAGCTGTGTACGACTGAAAAGCAGCCAAAAATTAGCCATCTTCCATCGGCGATTGAGTTACTTAATAAACATACTAGACTACTTTGTAGAGGTCATCATCCAAGAAAAATCATACATGCACGACGTATACGTCCGTACCGTACGTGCGTAAAATAACCTATAACCCGGAAGTTTATAGCGCGTGCGCGAGCAATATTACTTGAAATTCGTTGAGCTCATATAATCAACACTTTCGGGGAAAACCCGTGGTGATCTGTAAACAAAAGAAGGGCGGGGCTATTTGATGTCAATATGCGCCGTCATAAATTAGGATACAAATTTAGAATTGAGCATTGATTTACTGAGATTCGGGTTCATCCAATTTAAAAACGAGCCACACTGACATATATTTCGAGGTGCGGGAACGAAAATGTATCAAAATAAGAAGGGGCTTTTCTTTTCTGTTCAAGCGTATCCCATCCAAGTTTATTAAGGTTTTAGCTTCCCGATGAATCCCAAGGGGTATCATTATTTTGGAGAACATTTTGAAGGCACTTTTCACAGTTTCCCCATATTACATCACTATATAGAGGTGGGATAAAATAAATGCATTATATACTTTTAACATATATATACAATTCACTCTACATTTCTGTTGTACAGATTTAACATGGTCTGTCCATGATAAGGTTTCATCCATAATCACTCCTAAATGCTTGCATGAAGTAACTATTTTCAGAGGGGTTCTAGGCCTATATGTTAATATTCAAATTTCTATTACGTGCTAGTTTTAGACGATTTTTTGGTCCTAGTACAATGCATTCTGTTTTATTTATATTTTAAACTTAACTTATTGACATCAAGACATTTTTTCACGTTTACTAAATCTTACTTTTACTTTGTTTTCCAGTTCAGAAAAGTCATTACCAGCATACTTTAAACTAGTGTCATCAGCATACATATTTTTTTTTTTTTTGGGGGGGGGGGGGGGTTTGTAGGGTAAATCGTTGATGTGCATAATAAAGAGAAGTGGGCCAAGGATGGACCCTTGTAGAATTCCAGATAGGTAAAAACTCAGATGTTATACTATGGACTGTGGTTTTGGGGGTATTTCTAATACAGATAACTTGTAAATCAATTAAGTGTGTGTTTTCCAATACCATAATCCCGACCATAATATTTTAATTGTTCAAGTAGTAAATCAAAATCAATTGTGTCGAAGGCTTTCTTCAAATTTGTTCAAAGCTTTTCTGCCCTTCATCTGTCGAATTCAGCAATGCAGTGGCCGTTGAGTGCAGTGGTCGGAAGCCAGATTGATATACATTGATTAGATTATTACTATTTAGATAGTCATATAACTGATCAAACACGTACTACACGTTCTAGTACTTTCGAAAATCTCGTTTGTCTCTTTCTCTTTCGGTTGACATTCACGAACATAAGAGGAGCTCTTCTCATTCTGCATTTTCCGCTTGATTGTATTCTCGCATTCAACCTTTTTACTACTCCTCGATTCTGGAGTTGGATTAACTGGGGTACTCTTTTTAATGTCGATTAAGGATAGTTTGCATTCAATAGCATCCAGTCGATCTCTCTGGAATTGCCACGCATCGTTCACACAGGGGCTTAATTATCATAATCGCTCTCTGTATATAGGCGATCCACGCCAAATGCATGAACGTCAATCTCTATCGGGCATTCTATTGTTTGCAGCTTATTCAAACCAATTGTTCAAGATGGCTGTCTTCTTCCAATGTAAACACCCGGCCCCTCTCCCCCCCCCCCCCCCCACCCACTCCGAGAACGGAGGGACCGCATGAAAATGTCCGGTAAATATTAAGGGGTACTTTTCGTGCGACAAAGTCCGGCCCGAGAATCGTAAAAAAAGGGATGTATTTGACTTTTTATTGCACCCGGAGATTTCATTTAGTAAAAAGGGTTTTTTTTTTTTTTCTTTTTTTCTCTAATCTCTTTGGACTCCTGAAAAATTATTCTGAATTTAGGGGGTACATTGAGCATTTTTCTGGATTTAGGGGGGTCTCCAAGGCAGAAAAGCCCGCGAAAAGCCCGCGAAAGGGGGGTTCGGAAATGTTGGCAGTCCTCAGATAGGGGATGCTTTCAAAAAGAGGGAACAAGCATACACGTACCCTAAATAACACTGAGTAGTGCAGCGGCTTAGCAAGAAAATTGTGCACTTTTTGATAAAAGCATGAAACTTCTAGCATAGTTTGCTTTCACCATAAGATTTATTTTCAGATGTGGAGGGAAGTCAGATTTGACCTCTGATGACCCTGAGAGGTCAAATCCAAAATGGCCGCCAGGCCGCATGGTCTAATGTACAAACATGCTTAACTTTTGAACCAAATAGTCCAGAGAAACGTTTAAGGTGTCATTTCCAACTAACTTGGGGATGCCAATTCATTTGGTCATACTTTTGAGATCGCCTGAACTCAGGGTTTTGCATTTAGGTCAAGGTCAAGGTCAAAATTGACTAAAAATAGCAAGTTTTGAAATAGTTACAAATAGTTAAATCTCATTTATTTGTCATTTGTTCTCAAATTTCTTTAGGAATGGTTCCCCTGCATAGTCCTCCACCTTAATCCTTTTCAGGTAGTCTATTTCAGTTTGATTTGACCTCTGATGACCCTGAGAGGTCAAATCCAAAATGGCTGCCAGTCCGCAAGGGCTAATGTATAAACGCAGTAACTTTTGAACCAAATAATCCAGAAAAACATTTAAGGTGTCATTTCCAACTAAATTGGGGATGCCAGTTCATCTGGTAGTACATTTGAAATCGCCAGAACTCAGGGTGTGGCATTTATTTCAAGGTCGAGGTCAAAATTGACTAAAAATAGCAAGTTTTGAATGGTTACAGAAGGTTAAATCCCCATTATTTGTCATTTGTTCTCCCTAGCTATGGTCTCAAATTTATTGTGGAATGGTTTCCCTGCAGAGTTCTCCACCTTAATCCTTTTCAGTTAGTTTATTTAACAGTTTGATGTGACCTCTGATGACCCTAAGAGGTCAAAGCCAAAATAGCCGCCAGTCCGCATGGTCTAATGTACAAACGTGGTAACTTTTTAACCAAAAAGTGTAGAAAAACGTTTGAGGTGTCATTTCCAACTAACTTGGGGATACCAATTCATTAGGTAATACATTGAGATCGCCAGAACTCAGGGATTTGCAATGAGGTCAAGTTAAAGGTCATATTAGGCCAAAAAAAGTGCTGTTTTCTTTTTAAAATAAACTTTGCCTCTATTTTGACACTTAAGGTTTCATTATTTTAAAAATTAATAAAAAGACCCGTGTACCACCACTTTGACTATCCAGGGCCAAATTTCATAGAGCTGCTTATCGGCTGGTTCTGTGCTTACGTATTAGTTTCTACTTCAAAGCACTGCTAACCGTAAGCACACGAAAATGCATTAACCTTACGCTGCTTACTGGACGAAAATGAATTTTGTAACAATGCAACCCATTGTGAATGTACAAGGTGGACGCCTTGTTTTCTTGCTAACCAAATTTGTCTGCTACAGTTATAGCACGAAAATTTGCTTACCGGTTAGCAGCTTTATGAAAATGGCCCAGAAGACAAAAAAAGCTATTCCAAATACGACCTAAAACCTGTTCATAACCACAGCTATAGATATCTACATGAATTTAGCACTGTCCACAACTTATGCATATCCTAATGATGGTAACGATCAAAATCTAACAGTCTCCAGAACAAGATCACAGTTCAGTGCATCCTTTCTTGCAGCGACAGTGGATTATTCATGCCACAATTTTTATGCTTCCGGGAGAGTGGTCCAAAGAGGCTGCCACCCAGTTGTTTCGTTTGTCCAGCCCAAGTCAGATGACTCTGCATCTCTGGATTCTTGGCCAATATCTGGTTTCAACAGTTGGCCTGGTAGCAAGTGCGCTTGAGGTGCTGCTTGAGTGCTGCCTGGGATGGAGGAAAGTTCTCCAGGTTTCTAGACTTCTGTGCGAAGAGCTGTTTCCTGGCATCATTCACTATCATGCTCTCACTGGTTCGGTCGTATTAGCACCACAAATCGCTCTGGCAGTAACATTGATCCTTCACTGACCTCCCTAGGCATGCACAGGAGTTCATTGAAAGAATCATTCACCTCTGGGAAAGACTTCTAAGTTTTTCCTGTGAATGTAGAAACAGTGTGACACCCGGTGAACGCATGAAAGATTGGAAGAGTCATACATTGTGTCAGACTCATGGTGGCAACTATCATGATTTTATGAAAAGCCTTGTACCGAAAGCTTGATCTGACACCAAAAGCGATCCCCAGCATCAGGAGCTGTCTTGCTGAATGAAGCCACGGCCAGTTCAACCGCATCAGTACAAAAAATACGTATGGATACCCTTTTACACCCATGGGACAAGGCCTGCCAAGTGTGACTCAGCAGGAGAGCAGAGTACTCCACTTCCATCTGTTGCATATTATACAGTTCCTTGCCCTGTGGTAGAGGAAGGCCGGTAAACGGCTTCGCATGACATGAAATCAAACAATTCGGTTTTGTTCTCATTTAATCGAAGGAAGTCCTTCCAGCTTTCTGGCAGCAAAATAGAAGGAGCCACCCTTTTCCTGGTGCCCTTTCCCTTTTCCTGCCCTATTGAGGCTTTCAGGCTAGCAGGTAAGTATACACCATAGCCAAGGTCGATGCGGATGCTTTTCTCGAGTTGAGCAAAGATGTATGGGGCAAACACTTTTTCTCCATACTCTTGAAATGTTCTTGATGTTCCAGGGTTGAGCATTTGAACCACAGCTTCACCATCAATAAGTATTGCTTGGGCCACAGGTGCACTATTGTTTTCGAGCAGATTTGATTCCAGGCAGCGAAGTAGATCTGCTTTAACTCCAAACCGCATTTACCTCCAGTTAACAAAGCTGGCGGGACTGCCTGGTTTTCATGAGAGAAGAAATTGTCCATATCTCCATTCCTTGTCTGACACGAGATGTAAATCCTCAAAAAGAGACCACAGTCACTCTTAAGTGCTGCAAGCTGTGCCTTCTGTTTTAACATATATATAACCTTCGCCGGCTGCCGACTGAAAAATGGCAACTTGTTCGTATGAAGTGTTTGTGTGACGGCTAGGTGTCGTACACTGCTCTAGCCTTTCT